TCTCATGTAATTGCGCAGTGAGTCAGTGATACAGGCATGGTTATTCCCACGCTACAGCAGGGGACAGACACGGAGAGGTTGTCGGTAACGACTCGGAAGCCATGCATCCCAGAGGCCGTCCTCCGAACCACTCGCTGTGCTGACTGTGCGCTGGGGGGACGTCTCCTCTGCACAGCGTCACCTCGGGCGTTGCGCCTTTGTGACGGGCCCTGTCTGCTGGAAACGCAGCCAGCCCTTTCTGGGTACTTGTGTCTCAGCAGTGCCCTCCTCAGAGGAGCAGGCACCAGTGGCTGCATGAAAGGTATCCACAGGCGGGTCTGTTCCAGGGGAAGTCCCATCTCTCCAGGTCACATTAAGGCCTAAGTAGTGAGTCGAAGACTTAACGTGAATTATTCCAAGTAGAGAATAGGAAACACCATCCCAGGGCAATCAGGTTTGCCCGTGTGCCCCGTTCCCTCCCTTTTGGTGTCCATTCTCCTGGAAGGGGCGCTCAGAAAGAGACCTGCCTCTTCCTTATTAAGAGCCACTGTAACGTGCAGGAACCTGATGTCTGTGAAAGAGAACATGAAAGAGCTGATTTAATTTTTCTCTTCAAAATGTCTTTTGTTGCCAGGATTCTATCTTGGACATCAAGGTACCGATATTTAGAGGGCCTGGAGAACTGCCTGAAATCCGATCGTACATGGAAGAGTTCCCATTCCCGTTTTACATAATCCTCCGCGACGTGAACGCACTTCCCGAGACGCTCAGTGACGCGCTGAGACAGTGGTTTGAGCTGGTGACGGCCTCTGATCACCCGTAGAGCAGGAGGACCACGGTCCTGAGTGAGACTTGCAACTGCGCCCAGAAGGTCACACTGCTTGCCAGGAGCTCCCTTCTGGAGAGCTGTTTCTGAACTCCTAGCTCGAAAATGGTATTTTATCTTAGGCCTGATTTATAAACATTCACCACAAAAAATGACCGCAACCTAAGTTTCGATTTCAGGGCCTAAAGAAAACTCTTCGTGCCCCCAGAGGTGCTGGGTTCCGGTTCTTAAACCTGGGCAGTGAAGCCACAGCAGCAGGCGTCTCACACCTGGGGCGGCCCTGGCCCAGGAGGCAGCTGCACCCCACCCGTGGGCCCAGCTGCCTGCCTCCCCTCACAGGGACCCTGGACGCCACCTTGAGGAGATGCCGCCGGGAACACGGACTGTGCCAGGCCTCTGGACAAAGGCCTAAATAAAGGGAGTGGCCCTTCTGACTCTGCACTCTGGCTTAGCCATGCTAAGTCCGCAGTGTGTACCCAAAAGCCGTCGGATGGCTAAGACAGCTCCAGTTTATTTTAGAGAGTCAGTGTATTTTCTTACCGTGCTTCTTGTGAAAGGAACTACCTTCTCTCCAAGGGTAGGAACCTCATGCTGTGTGTGTCCTCATAAAGCAACCAGACATCATGGGAGCCCAGATCCTCAGAGAATGACCCTTGGGTCGTGTATGAAGGAAGGGGCTTCTCCCTGTCCTCCTTCACCTCTGCTGCTTCGGGAGACTATGCAATGATGGAAAGATGATTTTCCCTTTGTTTATTCTATTCTCTCAATGCCACAGTTCCAGTTGTCGTAGTAATTTATTTCTTTAGTTCATTTTTTCTTAACAGTTATGAGGAAGAACCATTCCTGACACTGCTTTCAAGCTGAACTGAGCCAGGCTCATCCTGGAAAAGAAGTGCTGTGTCAGAAGAACTGAGCAGCCAGACCTCTTTCCCCAGTCAGAAATCCACCAGCAGTTTTTCGGCAGTTTTTCATTTACTTGGCCAAAAAGCAGTGCTTGAGCACTTGAAGCTGTGCTGTGTCCCATTTGAGCTCTGCCTGTCCAAGTGTCCTTTTGCAGATGGCCCGCCAGGATGCCATCGCCCATCTCCGTGTGTGTTCCAGTTACACTGTGAAGCGTGCCACCCTTCTGAAGTGGTCCTCAAAGACAGATTGCCTGTTGTTGTTTAACCAAAGTGTCCTAAAGCATGTACCTGAGGTTATATCACTTTTTTATTCTAAAAAGCTATGCAGCCTGTATTCTGAAAAGTATTAAAAAGTATACGACAGTTGATGTCGCTTACGACCATTCTTAATGGGATATGACAGGAGTGTAAAAGGTGGCGCGAGGGGTCTCAACTGCTGGATCAGGCAGCAGTCACTAGTGCATGCCGTGTGTCATGGCCCTGCAGCTTCAGTGCTGACCTCAGACAGCCCCAGCGTCTGTTTCTTGTGTTCATGTCTGTGGTGGGTGAGCCCCAGCACGCTGGCCTCAGGGCAGAAGGAGGGCGGGATGGTGGACACATGGCTTGTAAGGGTACTACTCCAAGATGAGTTCTGAGAGGAAGAGATGTGTTCCTGGCCAACGGCCTCTGTGGGGCAGGAAGTTTAATCTTCCTGCAGGGAGGTAAGAACCAACATTATGACTGACGCAGTCCATCATGTCTGCCTTTAACTGACAGGCCAGCGAGGCTGCAGCATGCCAGCTGGTATACCAGCATGAGTGCTTGCCTTGGCCCCAGGATAGCCAGCAAGGTGGCACAGGAGAATTTCAGCGAGCAGGTCACCGCGGCGTGCCCTTTCAGTCTGTGCGGCGATGGGCGAAGGTTGGGAAGCACAGCGCAGACACAGGAACTGGGGGCTTGGTCAGGAAGCGTGACATGCCTGAGTCAGAGAAGCAGCTGCTGGGGATGCCTGCACGTGGAGCTCAGCCCTTCCCTCCGCCTCACCTTCCGCTCCCATCTCCATCCAAACCCGTCTTGCCAGGTCTCACTTCTAGACACTGATCTTATTCCACCCCTTCCCTTTCGCTTTCTTCTGTACTAGACTGCAGCTGGGGCTCTCTCAAAATGTAGCTCAAACGACTAATCCCTGTGCCAGCTTCACTCCCTCATACAGCATCCTTGGAGATCTTTCTGAACTCCTGTGAAGAAGGTACTATTTGTTGTTTCCTGGCCTAGCTCCCTTGTCCCTTCTCTCCCGCATCCCCACCACACTATTTGACCTGCTCACGCAAACCACGGGAGCCCTAGAATCTGCCAGTGTTCGTGTGTTCTTTGCCTGGAATTCTCTTACCCACTTGGCCTTTCTGAACAACACTTAGCTCAGATGAGCCCTGGAAGAAGAATGCGCTCCCATGGCAGGAGCCTCGACAGCATCTCTAACACTGCCTTAGACTTATGTCTTCCTACCCTAAGAGTGATTCTGAGAACAGAAGGCATGTATGACTCACAACAGCATTACCAGTGTCTGGCTTAAGGGGATGTTTCTGGATGAAAAGAAGAAATAGTATTAAAATGTCTGTTCTCAAGTTACTTTATAGATTAAGATTCTAAGATGATTTAAAGGAAAGTGAGAAAACATTTGTAAAGGTCATACAGAAGGTTAATAGACACTTCCAAGATACTACAGGATAGTATTACTGCTTCATGAAAACAACAAAAACCTGGATGAAATAGCTGTAAGGGTTATTCAGACCCTAAAAGAATTTACCAAGACCATCACAAAGCCCAGGAAGAGAAATGAATGGTTAATAGTGCTGACATTATAGTTTACAACTGGAAAAGAACTTAATCCCCAATATGCTATAAAACAAAATTCCAGGTGGAGTAAATATTTTAAAGATCAACAATGAAAAATTTTTAAGAATTAAAGGGAGAAGGTGAAATTGAAAAGAATCAAAATAATAGAAAATACAGTGTGTAGTGACTTAAAGCTATATAAAAAAGATCAGAATTTTTGAAATGTGGCAAACTGCATATAAAACTGCGTAAAGTCCAGGTAGTGATAAAGGGAGTAAAGTCAAAACAATTCACAAAATAAGTGTGACTGAAAACGGCAAGGGATAGTTCACTAATAGTTAAAAGGGAAAAAATGAATTGCTAATCAGTAGGCAAGTTTTCAGGCTTTGCCTGCAGGCAGGAGACTCGGGTTTGATCCCTGGGTCAAGAAGAGCCCCTGGAGCAAATGGCAACCCCCCCCCAGTAATCTTGCCGGGGAATGACATGGACGGAGGAGCCTGGTGGCCTACAGCCCATGGGATTGAAAAAGGGTGGGGTATGGCATCACCGTCCGTCACTCACACAATGCCTGGTGGTAGCCGTTAGGCTGACCCGCGCTGGTTTCTGTTCTCAGGGCACGACATACAATACTACAGCAACAGCTCCAGTAGATGCTGTCATTTCGCTTTAGAGATGAGAAAACAGGCGGGCACACTCACTGAAGCACACAACCAGGGCAGGATTCCACGCCAGCTAATCAAGGAGAGGTGCTCAGGGGACCAGCCGGTGGCTACTGAACATACAGGGCCGCACTTTAATTCGGAAGTAGGGGGGTTCACTAACCTCTCAGTTAATACCAGCCAAGAGCCTACAGAGTAGCGACCGGAGAATAAAAACAAACCCAGGGAAATGAATGCTTGAGGTGTAGCGATACTCGTTTCCTCTTTACCAGCGATACCAAGTTCTCAAAACTGCAACGGGACAACCACCTGAAACCTTGTAACTAATGACGACCATGAAGACGACAGCGCCAGGAAAGAGGCGGCAGAAGAGAGCAGGACGAAAACGAGAAGAGCAGAACACAAACTCTGACAAATTAGCAATTTTAGTCATTTTAGCTGTATGCACTAAATCTCAAAAGGAATGCAGTTTTCTCCCTTCACCATCAAAACCCTTAGCTCTCATTTCCTAGAACAAACACGTGTGAAGAACTGTGCTGAATGCCTCACCGCCGTTTCATTCTCACAACAATCCAGCACGCAGGAACTGTCAGCCCATTTCTCTGGTGAGGTAACAGGCTAAGACAGAGCGAAACTGCCGCGGGCTTCCGTCCCGATCTACAGCCCGCCAGGTTCTTCGGGGCGCGCGCGCGCTGCAGGCCGTCTCCCAGGAGACCGACTCCGCCCCGCCCCGTCGCCCCCACTTCCGCTCCCACTTCCGCTCCTGCGCGCCGGGGCTGGGGCGCGCCGGGGCTTCGGGAGCCGCGCTGTCGGGACGACATGGCCACCTCCCGCCTGCCCCCAGCGACGCCAACGCTCAAGCAGGTACCAGCTGTCCTCGCGGGCCTCTTAGGGCGGCTCTTCTGGGTCTGAGCTCGACTCTCCACCGCCCCCTCCACCCGTTCTGTGGAGCGGGACGGAGGGACGCCTGGCGGGGAGGCCCTGCGCGCGCCGCCCTCTGACTGGCTCGGGCTCGGCGGCGGGGCTTCGCCCTGGCGGACGGAGGGCGCCGCGGGGCGGGGCTGCTCTCCGGCGGCGGCGGCGAGAGGCCGGCAGAGGTCTGCGTCTCTAGCCCGGGTACCTCATTGCCTGCTGACGCGCTATAAAGACTTCTCTGTCGCTTGTACCCTTTAAGGGTTCCTGTATTTGACAAATGAGTAAACACTCCAGGTAAATTTCTTGCCATTTTCTTAGGGGAAAAAATGGCTTTCTCTCCTCTTTTCAAAATTGAGGACCAAAGAGAAAAGAACCCACTGAACTGACGATTGTGCAGCTGTAATTACTGTTTCTCCTCCCCTGTGCAGTTCATGAGGAGGCAACAAGTTCTCCTCCTCTACAGAAGGATTTTGCAGGCAGTCCGGCAAGTTCCAAATGATTCTGATCGCAAATACCTGAAGGCCTGGGCAAGAGAAGAATTCAAAAGAAACAAAAGTGCCACGGAAGAGGTGAGACCAAGATCACTAGTGAGGGAAGACCCTGACCCTTTTGCACTGATTAGTGAGGTTTTTTTTTTAAGTTTATACGATATCTTGGAATATCTACTGAAATCCCGCCAGGCTCCTCTGTCCCTGGGATTCTCCAGGCAAGAACACTGGAGTGGGTTGCCATGCCCTCCTCCAGGGCCTCTTCCCAGTCCAGGGGTCCAACTCGCACCTCTTAGGTCTCCTGCATTGGCAGGCGGGCTCTTTACCACTAGTGACACCTGGGATGCCTGATTAGTGAGCTCTTTTAAAAATTTAGTAGCTGTCTTGGAATATGTCACTGAAATAATATATCTTGATCATTGCTCTCAATGTTTTTCACTTAACTGGTATTTTAAATTTTAGAGTGTTTGTTATGTCTACACTCTGCAGTGGCATCACCCAGCTTTTCTGTTAAACCAGATATCTGCATGCACACACACAAAAAGATGATAAATATTACAGCATGGTGGTTTGGGAAGTATGATTGGGATATATGAAAGCATGTCAGACAATTGTACACCCCTGATTGTTAATTCTGGACTTTCCTAAAGTACAGCGGTTCCAGTTCTCAGTATTAATTCTTAATTTTAACAGATGAAATTGTAGAGCTGTACCTTGTTCTACCAATTAAAACTGACCAGATTTCACTTTCTTCTGCAGGATTCAATCCGGATGATGATTACTCAAGGCAATATGCAGCTCAAAGAGTTAGAAAAAACACTTGCTTTAGCCAGATCTTAACTACAGCATTGTTCTGAAAGGTTTTCAAAGTCTCCATATGTTTAGTTGAGCTTAGGCTCAGTCATGGGCAGCCCAAAGCCAAGTGAAACTGTTTATATGTAGAACCCTTGCGCAAAATATCAGAACATGGAGCATAGCATATGAGAGAGAGCCAAGAAAACTGCATCAGAGCAATTGTCTTAGCACGGACAAACACACCCGCTATTTTGAAAATGTTTTTGGATGTGTCAGCAGTATTTTGTAAGAAGCAAAAATCAGTCCAACAGGTAGCACATAAAAAGATGTTCAACACCATTAATCAGTCATCAGGGAAATGCAAATCAAAACCACCAAGAGATGCTATTCACATTTACTAGGATGACTGTAATTAAAAAGGGAGGTAACTGCAAATGTTTGTGAGGATGGAGAAACTGGAACCCTTATACATGGCTGGTGGGACTATAAAATTGTGCAGCCCCTTTGGAAACAGACTGTCCAGTTGCCAAAAGGGTAAAACAGCATTATTCATAAGAGCCACAAAGTGGACAATCCAAATGCCTATCAACTGATTAAGGACTAAGTTAAATGTGGTATACCCATACAATAAAATATTATTTAGCAAACGAAAAGGAATGAAGTACTGATACATGCTACACCTGAATGAACCCTTGAAAACATTAAGAGGCCAGTCACAAAAGATTACATATTGTCTGATTCCATTTATATGAATGCACAACTCAATATACTAAAATCTGTTGAATTGTACATTTTACATGTATGCAAATTCTCTCTCAATAAAGCCATTTCCCCCACCCTGATTTTTTTGTGTGTAAGTCAGTAAAGCTGTTTTAAAAACCTGTGAGGTGTAGGGCTGGAGGTGTACTGACCTCAGGAGACAGTCTGGAGCTCCCTCGGAAAGTCTTTCCACGTTACCCCTCAGGGTTGTTGAGCATGTTGTTCAGGCGTTACCGTATCTGATACTCAGAGGGCTCTGAAGAGATCACCGCAGGGGATCTAGAACTTTGTTGGAGAGAGGAGAAAGAGAAACTTAATGAACCTTCCAAAAAGAAGAGGCAGTTTCTGGACAAAGCAAATACAGTTACCTTAACAGCCATGTGGAAAGTAGACTAAATCAGTAAGGAAGCTCCTCAGTGCATTAGACTCTGCCCTGGTAACAGGGAAAACAGTCTGAAGAATACACTGGACATAAAGTTGGCTTCAGGACCCTTGAAAGAAACCAAATGTTTAACAGTTAATTCAGTGAAAGTGAAAGCTCACCAAAGAGGTTGAGATTGGCAGTTCATCTACAGAACAGATCTAAAGAGTTAATCCAAGGGTCTGAGCAGCACCTGAAAGATGTAGAACTTCTGCAGGATGATAAATCTGTATAAACCTGTGGTGGTGTATCAGTAACCTGCATCCCAAGGCCCACCTTCGCCTCCCACAGCTTCAGAGGCCACAAGACAAAATAATCTGAATCTTCCACAGGGAAATGTGGACATTTTAAATGCTTGCATGAGCCAGTTTTTATCTAGATGTACTTTAAGGCCAGCCACCTGATGAACAAAAGGAAAAGCATTTGTGAATAGTTTCTGAACAAAGAACAAACTTAGAAATATTTATCCTTTTTTCTGTGTGGCATGATTGACGTACATACGGAAATACAGGCTGTCTCTAGTTAATCTAAAATCTTGAAGCTAAAAACCATCCTTTATGAAGTGTGGCAGTCAGTGACTTTGATGTTCATCCTAGCATGAACATCATGTATGTTGAAGATGTGAGAGCATTTGTGGTTTGTATTTGCAAGAATCAAAATACCACGATTCCCCCAAGAAAACCTAACTTGGTTTTAAGTGGATAAAACACACAAAAAGTTGAATTTGCATCTTTCCAAAGCTAAGATCATTCTCAGGGATAAGCTTTTCCCTTCATCTCTAATGAACAGTTTGATTTTATGTGTTCACTTACAGTTTTATCTCCTCTGAATTTTAAGTCAAGTCTGTTGTTTAGCCTAAAGGAAGATTTATTTAGCAATTTCCTCTCACACATCGAACCTTGGTCATGAACTAAGAAACTGGCCAAAAGAGAACTGCTGGTGAAACATTTGATTCATCATCTTTATCACTATTTTGGATGAGGCAAATTAACTCGCTGGGTGTTCCCCGTAAACTAGCTGTTGTTCAGTCACTAAGTCACATCCGACTCTTTTTCAGCTTCATGGACTGCATCACGTCGGGCTCCTCTGTCCTCCACTGTTTGCTGGAGTTTGCTCAAGTACCTGCCCATTGAGTCAGCAATACTATACTATTGTTGACTGTTTGTTCCCAAAGTTTAAGGTTTGAACATTCGATTTATGTATATCAACTACAATAAGGGCTTCCCTCATAGCTCAGTCGGTAAAGAATCTGCCTGCAATGCAGGAGACCCGGGTTCGTTTCCTGGGTTGGGAAGATCCTGTGGAGAAAGAAATGGCAATCCACTCCAGTATTCTTGCCTGGGAAATCCCATGAACAGAGGAGGCTGGTGGGCTACAGTCCATGGGTTTGCAAGAGTTAGACACGACTTAGCGACTAAGGCACCACCACCACTACAGTAAATCAGCTTTTTAAATACAAAAGCTTTCTAGCACATGAAAAGTGGCTAAGGCTGTTATTTATATTTCTGACTGCCCCTCCTCTATCACTGCCCCCATTTCAGTTGCTGTCAGAGTCTGAACTGCACGGCACAGGCCTTGCTGCAGATGTGTCTGCCCGGATGGATGACTTTCCAGTGTTCGAGGAAGGCAAGACGTCCTATTTCCTGGAATTACTGCAGTCACGCCTCTCCTCCACCCAGGAGAAGCTGAGTGGCGGAGAGCCAAACTTAAATAACTCAATTATCTTTTATAGAAAAGTAAGGAAAATTCAAGTAAAACATAATCAAAAGGAAGCAACTTACATCTATATTGAAAAAACAAAAAGGATTATGTAGAGTAAGACCCGAACAGGATCAAAAGGAAGCTGTCCTGTGCCAAACTGGGAATCACCTCAGGCTGTTTCCTTCCTTGAATTAGACTTTGAGAAATACCTTAAGGATTAAATGAAATTTGCTTCTTCTGTTTGCTGAGAAGAGTAAATCACTTTGACCCAGTCCATTTTGTTTCTTTAAAAAAGTGTTTTGCTGAACAGTGTCTTGCTTCCGTGTGTCTCATGGATTTAAGTCTGTGTTCCCATTTAGTCACATTTGGCTAACTGGTAGACAAAAAGACTATTTCTCCTTAAATAAAATGATGGCTGAAAAAATATTCTTCATAAATTTCTCATTGGTAAGACATATTCTAAAAGTCCATTTGGTTTTTTTTTTTAACTGATTTGTCCTTTAAGTCTTAATTTATTGGCTTTTATATCATAGGAAATACATTTAGCTTTTAGAAACAGTTTGTTAGTTAAAAAAAAACCACCGTTATCTTAGCCTGCACGCAGTGAGGTTTTGTCCCCTTGTCCTTTGTTCAGTATTTTCCAAAAGGTCAACAGTTTAAAGAAAGCATTTTGTTTAAGCTTGCACTGGAAACTCTTCATGTTACAGCAGGCTTAAAGATGTTTTTATGTTTTCATGCAGTACACCTGATCTCTCCTTTAAAAGCAAGTGTATTTAGTCTAAATTACATTCTTTTAAAAACAAGGTGAAGTGTGGTTAGGTGAAAACACTCCTTCAGGAACCATAAAATTTGGTCAACCACACAAATGAAACTATGGGCTGAACAAAGTGTTCTCACTTTCATTCTTTAAATACAGGATATTTTCCATAATGTTGAGAACCATCTTTAATGCTTGGAAGAGAGAGAAGTTCAAGGTGATAAAAATATTAAATAGAATATAACATACCTTTCAAGCTTCAACTTTTGACTGAAAAAAAGGTATAAACATGAAACACCCCTTCCTTGATTTTGGGCTCCCAAAGTCTAAAGTAAAATTAGAATATTCAATTGATCACAGATATTTACTACACTCAATGCAATAATGCACTAACAATCAAAAAAAATACTGGAATATTGTACATCTTCTCTGTATTTTGCATTATCTTTCCCACAGTTATTGAAAATTCCAGCCTCAGTTTGAAACACAACCTACACGACTGGCCATAAGTTGTCAATAGTTCTGCTTCTTAGGAAAAGCACTATTGTGGCATTTGCTCATTTTAGCCAATAGCACAAGGGAAAAAAGAAAAAATACACATGGGAGCCTTAGTTGAGTTTTTGACAATGCTAAGGAACAAAAGCAGACCAATCACAGTCGTTGAAAACACTCCTGGATTTGTCTTGAGATGCTGTGATCTCTGAGTTAGAAGCTGGCTGACCCTGTTTCCTGGCCGCCACTGGTTTTCCTTCCCTGGGAAACAAGATCCACATAATCTGCCATACGAGGTGCACTTGGCCTTTCACGTGTCTCCCTAGTCTCTTCCCTGACTCTGATGGAATCTTCCAGTTCACAGTAAGCTGCCTGCTTCTGATGGGCAGGAGTTATACAATCAAAACACCACCAAAGCATTAAACTGTTTTCAGCGTTTCTCAACAGGAATACCCCACGAGCTAACAGATCTCTTAATGGGTGAGAATAGCTTCTACTTGGAACATGACTTTCTGATCATCTCAGGAGTTCCGTATCTGGCAGCTCTCAATACACTGATGTATACTGAGGAAGGATTCTGAAGAGGTTTAGTGATACCTTGTTGGGAACAGATTTAGAAAACTCAAGGTACCACGTAGCCCTACAACCCCATGATGCTGCACTGGGAACAAACAGGGAAATGAAGAGAGCAAAGCGCCCCTACAGTTTGCAACCGAACGACAATCTCTGGGGAGAAGTCGTCTCCCCACCAAGGAGAAACAAGATGAGCTCACAGACCTAATGATAAACTTGAGAGAACAGCAAACTAATTCCTCGTCTGGGCTTCAGAACGAAGACATACATCTACATTTATTAGGAACGCCTAGATCCACTGATTGTATTTAAAAGAACAAACCCAAAACAACCCAGCTTGAGGGGCAGAAGACGCAGGGATTAAATGCATACTTTGTTTCTCTGGGTGTTCCCATGTCAAGAAGTCACATTTTTCTCTTTGGCTCAATGAGCAAAACTTTATTCAAAATTACAGACAACAGTACTTGGTTCCTGTGTTTATAGAAATAGAATCAAAGTTTCTATGCATATATGGGATTTTGAGGAGATGAACATAATGCCACAGTCCAAAGGACAAGAAGCTTGAAAGATAATTGAAAGTTTCAATATACTGTTACTTTTCAACTTTGTACACCCCACAGAGCACAGTGAAAATCTAGGGCTCCATGATGCTGGAGAATCTAAGTCAATTTATTGAATTATTTACCTTGACATAGTCGCTACAAAGCAGTGGGAAGCTTTTGAGGTTCCTCAATGACAGAACTCAATTCAAAATGAAATACTGTCTTTATAAAATGTAGACCAATAAGCTCAAATTCAGAAAGATACTCTTAAGATAATCTGGCTGGGAATTAGATTATAAAAATTCCAGGTAATTGTTATGGGAATGTTTTTTCCATTAATCCACTTGAAAATCACTATGATTGATTGTAGTCTTTCTATATTTTGGCTGAAAGATACAAACACCATGATCAAATGATCTGAACCTTTCTCATTTGAGTTCACTATTAACAAACATTTCCAGTGCTATTATGCCAATTAACTCATTATTTAAATACACTCTGATTTTTCAAAACATTTTAAGATATACTGGATCTTGTGACATCGTGAAAACCCTTCTCCTCAAAATTTGTTTGATGAGTTTTCCCCTGGTTAAAATGTCAGTATCTTGAGGACTATGAACTTGAGGGAGGCTGTCTGGATCTTGACACTCCTCAGCATGTCTATTGCAGCTCTTCAGAAAGACTCTGTCCAGGCACCGCAGCTGTGTTGCTATGAATGACTGCCTGATTCGCGTTCACAGGGATGAATATTTTTTCTTCCTTTTCAATTACGTTATTTCATATCGGGAATATTAGGATTTAGGCTTACACATCATTCAGTTTCTTAGCATGGCTAATTAATTTGAGCTTTTGAACTTCAGATGAACTTGGGCTGAGGTTTTAAGTCTATAATGAAACCTGAAACCAAGCACGCTTCCCCTGGTTTCAGTCTAATTGTTGAAGTCTTCATAACTTCAGGGCGTAGGAAACGTGTGTCTGGCACATTTTAGAAACCAGTGTTTTGATTTTTTTTTTAAAGGCAAGTTCTGCTGTGTGCACAATAACCGACACCTTGGACATAGCTCTTCTGCAGCTGCAGGACAGGAAATCCTAAAGATCCTTTCTCAGGCCATTTGTTTTTTAATTTGTTCAGTCGCTCAGTCGTGTCCGACTCTGTGCAACTCCAGGGACTGCAGTGCACCAGGCTCCCGTCTTTCACTGTGGTCCCTAGTTTTCCTTCTGTACCTTAGTCCTTAGTTTAGCAAGTTCCTCCTCTAAACTTCTAATGTGTTCCTCCAGCGTGGCCTTGTCTTGCTGGGCTTTCTGACTGGCTTGGCTTCGTGCTTCTTCAATCTTCCTTTCATACCACTTTTCCATCTGGGTGGAAACAGCCTCAAAGAAATACTGGGTGAGCTCCAGCGCTTGGGAGGTGTCTCGAGCGTGAGGGGCGGTCTGCTCGCCGCCGGCTGCTGGAGGCGGCGGCTGCCCGCCGGCAGTGCTGACTGCTGGGGGCTGGCCTCGGTGCCTCGTCTGCCCGCTTTTCCCAGACTTCTTGGTCTGGGTGCCTCTGTCAACACAAGGCCCAGCCTGCGGATCGCCTCTGGCTGCCTCTTTCAAGGGGAGCGAGGCTGTCTGGACTTTGACGCTCCTCAGTCGGGAGCCCGTACAGTCCGAGGAAGACAGCTCCTGCTGCTGGGGTCTGTGGGTGGCGGCGGAGCTGAGGGCCTTGTCCTTGGGCCTGACCACCTGGGGGGAACTGTCCGAGGCGGCCACTGGGCCTGCAGTCACCACTGACTGATCCACACCTGGTTTTGGAAGGAAAACAAAAGTCAGAGTGAAGCTGTGTTCATACAGGCACCTGGGCCGGCATTTGAGAGTCTTGGGAATCCTGTAACCGCCAGCCTCTCCCATCACCACCCGCCCGCCTGTGCAGCTTCCCCCGTCCTTTCCTCCCGCTTCTCCCTGGATTATGATGTTGGCTTGTCGGGGCTTTCAGAGGTACTGTGTGAGACCCACTCATGGCATCTAAGCCAAAATGTTGCTGGCCTTGCCTTTAGCCTGTCTCAATATACACGACTTCCCAAGTGGCTGAGTGGTAAAGAATCTGCCTGCCAATGCAGGAGACATCAGTTCGATCTTGGGTCAGGAAGATCCCCCTGAAGAAGGAAAAGGCAACCCACTCCAGTATTCTTGCCTGGGAAATCCCGTGGACGGAGGAGCCTGGCGGGCTACAGTCCACGGGGTCACAGAGAGTTGGACATGACTGAGCGACTAAACAACAGCAATCTACATGAGACGGCTCTGGGTACCACTTCCTGATAGTTAAGGATGCTACATCTCACTGTATGTCCTAAAGCCGAGCTGGGCACTTACTGATGAGTAAGCACCCCCATTCTAATTTCTGGGCCTTTTCCACACCAGAGCCCCAGTTACAAGTGTCTTGACCCAGTTTGGAGAGGTGGTCCTAATGCCCCTACCCAGAGCTCTATGACAAGTTCCATAACTAGTCCCAGCATGAAAAACTTGCCCAGGATTTTCCCCACCATTAAGGCACAAAGGTACAGAAATGGTCCAAGATAATATGAAATAAACAACACACATCAAAATCCCCCATGAAGGTCTAATTACTAAGGCTGTGCGTGTCCTCAGATGATCATCGTTGAGCACAACCACTGAGCTAACATAACGGTGCTCTGCTAAAAGCATCTCTTATCCAGCACCTGGGGCAACTTCGATATATGATCTGTGGTTTAGCGAGGCTGTACAGATGTAAAGCGATGGAGGTTCAGTCTGGGTCGCGAGGATCCCCTGGAGGAGGGCACGCCAGCCCACTCCAGTATTCTTGCCTGGAGAACCCCCTGGACAGAGAAGCCTGTCGGGCTACAGTTCACAGGGTCGAAAAGAATCGAACATGACCAAAGCGACTGAGCACCCGTGCAGAGCTGGCCAAGAGTGGAGGGCGGATCAAGGACGAGGAAGGCAGAGAGATGCACGGGCGAGCGCCCGGCCAAACAGACGTGTCCCCTCCTCACCCTAATCTTTGGTGCCCACTTTCACACTATCAGTACTGCACTGCTATCACTGATCAGCGATTCTTCTATTCCTTCATTCAACAAATTTTTGAGCACTTAAATAAGAGTACTTTATTATTAAAGAGCAACAGCGTGGCCCTGGCCCCTACAGAGATCATGCTACAGACTGGTGTTTCATGCAGCCCTATCACACGGCTGTCTTCAGATGCAAGAAGAGAACTCGACCTGGGGGGTTTCATCCCCTGTGGGTGGAGGGGCTCTCTCTGCATGCTGGTTACCTGTGGAGGACTCGCAAGTGGACGGCGTGGACTTAGTCCTGGAGGCCCTAGAATCTCCAGAAAGCTTCAGCTCCAGATTCTGAATCTTTAACATGCACCAGGTTTTTAATTCATCCACCAAGGACATCTAAAAAAAATCCCACAGTTAGTACACAAATCATCAGGAGACTGTGATACACAGCTTATGAACTAAAGCCTCAAGAATGGGCTTTTCAATTATGATAGGCTATTATCTGGACAAGGCCCAAAGCTGTGGGCTGCCTCCCTTCCACAGCCCCCCCCCAAAGCCTGGGATTCACCTAGCACCCAAGCCGATAGCTACCTATCATCTTCATTAAGTGACTTAGAGGCATCTTAAAAGCAAACACCCAGGTGGAGCAGTGGTAAAGAATCTGCCTGCCAACGAAGGAGACAGAAGAGACTCAGCTTCCACCCCCGGGTCGGGAAGATCGCCTGGAGAAGGCAGCCCGCTCCAGGATTCGTGCCTGGAGAATCCCGTGGACAGAGGGGCCTGGCGGGCTCCCTGCAGAGTCAGACGTGAGGGAGCACCCAGCACCCACAGCACCGGCAGCGCGTCTGCCTGCGCAGGGGCACCGGCTCACGCTCACGGGGCCCGTGTCGCGTCTGCCGCCCGCGTGGCCACGCACTCAGGGCAGAAGCACAGCGCACAGCAGCGACCCTGGCGGAGCCCACCTCCTCCCCAGCAGCCTCTACAGACTGCCCGGCCTGCGCCTCCTACCTGCACGGTCAGCCACAAACAGGAGCCGGACTCCAGGCTCTCTGCTGCCTTCAGGCTATAAAACCGACACGCTCTGTGATGCGAGCACCTTCCGAGGACCTGGGCGCTCTCAGCGGCAGGTCTGCACCCCGGCCCCGGGGAGGAGTGTGGACAGACGCGGAGGCCGCTTCTCACCTGCCGTCTCTCCCCTTCGCGCTTCTCCGAGTCCCAGTGCTGCTGCAGCCGGCTCAGGCACTCCGTCCTCTCCGCGGAGAGTCGCTCCACCATCAGCTTGTCCAGAACCCGCATCTAGGATTCAGGGGGCAAGGGGGACGTGGTGACTGAGATGACCTAAGGATGGGCCCTGATGCCGTCACTCCTGAGACGAGTAGGGGTCAGATAGAAGGCCAGCACATCCCACTCCTCGCCCGGTTCTTTCGTGTGGCCCTCATGGACCTCTTTATGCGTTCAGAATTCCTGAGTATGTTTCTGTGTGAGCCAGTGCTGATTTCTTTCTCTCATTTAAAATCTGAGTGGGTCCAGAGACTATAAATACACAGTAAATATACAATTTGAGCCAATATATTCCTTGTCAGTAAAAGAAAATTTGTATAGGCCTTTGAAAATTATTTCCAAGACTATTGTTACCAGGAAAAACTATTTCTTTTTTTTTTTTTTTAGGAAAAACTATTTCAAGGAGTATGGAGCTATCCCAATTCCTCTTTCTAAAAAAAAAAATTTTTTTTAATTTACTTATTTTTAATTGAAGGATACTTGCTTTACAATATTGTGTTGATCTCTACGAGACATCAGCGTGGATCAGCCAAAGGTTTATCCACGTCCCCTTGCACCTCCCTTCCCATCCCACTCCCCTCCCTTTTTTTTTAATATTTATTCATTTATTTGGCTGTACCAGGTCTTAGTTGCAGGATGTGGGATCTAGTTCCCTGACCAGGGATCGAACCTGGGCCCCCTGCATTGGGAGCTCAGAGTCTTAACTACTGGGCCAGCAGGGAAGTCCCCCGACTCCCCTTTTAAAAATGTTTTTAACCCCCCTTCCCCTTTTTAAAGGTGAGTGGCTGCCCAAGAAGAAAGGAAAGCCGCTGAATAGTCAGCGCTTTGCTCCAGCATTCCCAGTGAACAGACGCTTCACTGAAAGTTCTCACAGCACCTGTGAGGAAGGGGGTGGACGGAGTTCAGAGGGATCTCGTCAGGGAGTGATAGCTTATGGTGAACAATGTCAGATTCGTGATTTCTGAAGAAGAAGGTTTAGCTTCGGGACCAGGGACCAGACTTGATTGCTCAAGAGCTTTTGTGTAGCGGAGTTTTACTAAAGTATGAAAAGAGAAAGAGAAAGCTTCTGACGCAGACACCAGGAGGGGACAGAGAGCGCCCCCCTCGCCAGTGAGCGCAAGGGAGTTATTTACAATAAAGCAAGAGAATGTTCCAAGTTTGTGAAAACTTTACCAGACCCACTCCCACAATTTACATTTTAGGCTAACAGCATTAGAACTTAACAATAGAAGAGATCCTACCAGACCCACTCCCGTAATACACATTCTAAAGTATCAGGATCAGTCAGGTTCTCAGGAAGGAGAAACTGTCCAAGCAGGATGCACTGTTGTTACAGAATCCCTGGTACAGAGTTTAAACTGAGTTGTGTAATCAGCAGTTTCAGGCTTAAAGAAAAAAAAAGTTTTAAAAGTTTTAAAAGTTGACTAAGACTAAGGCATGTAGAGGGGAAAGAAGATGTCTGTCCTTTCCTCCTCCTCGAGAATTCCAGACCCCTATCTCCTCCTCGAGAGCCCCAGGCCCCCTTCTTCTCGGGGACCCCAGACTTCTTCTCAACCTGCCCAGGAACGGACTCTCGCAGGAGGAGCGAGTGACCGGCCCCCTGCAGTCGCGTGCCCTTCTCCGCTCCTCCAGTCCCTAAGCTGCGGGGCTCTGACAGACACCCAGCAGGACAAACGCCCAGTGTGCGGCAAGCTCCGCAGAAGAGAAAGGAGCCGCTGTGAGTGGGAGCCGGCATGGAGGGCTTGGCAGCGGGCGCCTCTCCTGCCGGGACATACTGACGTTCCACGCGCAGATGCTCCGGAGATGTGGTGAGCTCCTGCTTGGGCTCCTCATCCGCACAGCCTCCTGGGACCCGCTCTCCTCCTGTTTCCTAGGACCAGCCTGCTCTCCCACCTCCCACCCCTGCCTAGACCGGACAGTACCCAGGCTGACACAGAGCTGTGTTCCTGGGGCATAGCTGACGGTCCAGGAACGTGCTCCTGACTCATGCTGCACTAGAGTCAGTCCCCTGAGACCCAGAATGAGGACTCAGGTTCTACACCCTAGTCTGTCACCTCCTTTGAACCAAACAGAGGTCCGTGAGACATCTCAACATTCACCTAATGCATTCCCCTCTGTGCTTGGGCTAGCTAAAGTCAGGTTTTATTTACAAAGCAGTTTAACTAATCTATTATGGCTCAGATAGTTTTAAAATGGGCTTTTTATGAAATGCAAATAATCCACAAACCTTAAAAATAATTTCACCAATAGACAGGGACAGACATACAAATTAAACTCAAATGTCCTTAGTTAATTTGGAAAAAACTTAAAAAAATAATATTCAATGATAGCAAAGCTTTGAAACAGAAATTCAGATCCTGCTTATAGGATATAAATTGGTACAACCTTTCAATTAAGTAGCTTGCCAGCACTTATCAAGAGCCTTAAACATATTCTTAACTTAGGGTCCCATTATCCTAATTCTAAGCATATAACCTCAGAAGCAATCAAGTTTCTGTACATAAATGTTCACAGCATTTATTGAGTAGAGTGAAAAATTATAAGCAACTGTAGTGTCTAACAAAAGGTATGGTTAAATAAATTATGTGGTATTGATGTGCTGGAATATTATGAAGCCAAGGACGTGGGGAAGCGCTCAAGAAACAAAATTAAGCGGAACGGCTGCCCTCGTGGCTCAGCCTCCTGCCAATGCCAGAGGCACAGGTGTGATGCCTGGTCCAGGAGGACCGCACGTGCCTGGGGCAGCTAGGCCTGCAAGCTGCAACCACTGAGCCCGGGGCCACAGCAAGGGACGGCATGACAGTGGGAGCCCAAGCCCTGCAACCAGAGAAAACCCGCAGCAGCCGCGAAGCCCAGCACAGCCTAACCTAAATAAAACTTTATTCAAAAATAAAGTGAAGTGAAAAGAGCAGGAAGTAAAATTCTATTTCCCTGCATAGAAATTGTACGCCACCATTAAAAAGCACACTCTAGCTCTTTTTACTAACTTAAAAAGTAAACTGCAAAAAAAAAAAAAAAAGCACAGTATAGTCCATTTTTTGTTTAAAAGTGAAAATTAGTAAGGTTATATCTATAAAAGAAAAAAAGCTACAGGAAAAAAAACATAGTAATGGGAGGGTTTCTGGGCAGGGTCACTGCAATAATAGTTCTGCATATGAGGTGTTTTCCGCAAATAACATGTGTTACTTCGTAAGCTTTTAAAAGTTTTTTTATATTTAAAAACCTATATCCAACACATATCTATTAATTACAAAGGCAAAACATACCTTTACAGTTGAGACAGGCAGTGGTTACCAGGTTAGCCAAGCAATCAAACTTAGTGTCAGTAATAATGAGACATCCTGACATGTCTCTTCTGATGTGATGTAATTTGAAGCTTACACAATTAATTATGAAATATTCTTGCCAAAAATATTTAACCTGAACCTAAATAAGCATCTAGAGTAATGATTCTCAAACTTGTTTTTACCAGCATTACCTGGAGATTCTGTTAAAATACAGGTTGCTAAGACTCTGCCCCTGGAGTTTTATTTACAGTTAAATTCAGGAGATTTGGGCGGAGGCCCAAGAATTTGCATATTTCCCCCCTCAAGTCCCCAGATGATGCTGATGCTCTAGACCTAACTTTCGCTTTACAGACAGAGGGATAGAGGAACAAGTTAAAAATACCATGAAGAAACTGTCATACTACAAAACATTCTATTAAACAAATGGCTTGGACTCTGTTAAAAAGTTGTTATGGGAAAAAACAAGAGCCACAAGAAGAAACCAGGGGCTATTTTAGATGAAAAGAAACCTCACATATAGTATACAAGCACAAAGTATTCACTGGACCCTAGGTTGGCATTAAAAACAAAAACCAGCTACAAAACACACGTATTTTGGGAGAACTGAGAAAATCTGAATATGGACAGCACATCACACAATTAGTGTTACTCTTCTCAGATGTGAAGACGGCATTGTGTAAGGATGGACGAGATCCCCATTCTTAGTCGATGTGCTCTGGAGTACTTAAAGGTTAGGGTCAGCAAACAGTTAAGCAAAAGACCCAGAAGTGTGTGCGAGAGACACCGTGCAAACGTGGGAACACAGTGCCTACTGGCTGAGCCGAAGTGGAGGCTGCACAGACGTTCAGGAAGCTGTGCTTGCAACCTTTCTGCGTGTGTGACCGCTTTCAAAATAAAGTTGGAAAAATAGAAAGAGCTACACGTGATTGTATTACTTTAGCGTACAAGGGGAAAGGGGAGTAAGGCACACAGACATAAAAGGACTGGAGGAAATAAACCCAAATATGAACAGTGCTTTTTCATCATAGTAGGTTCACAGGTGATTTATTTTCCTTTCCTAGTTTTCATATGTTTTAAAAATGCTCCATAATGGTATATATTATTTTATAATCAGAAGCAATTAAAACATGCTCTTAAAAATTTTTAAGTCAATGGCTTTCAAGAAATCACATAAAGTGATCACAAAGGGCAGAAGACCTAAATAGACATTTCTGCAAAGAAGACATGCAGGTGGCCAGGAGGCACGTGAAAAGATGGTCAACACAACTAAATATTAGAGAAATGCAGATCAAAACCACAACAGTGAGGTATCACTTCACACCCGTCAGAATGGCCAGCATCAAAAATCTACAAACAATAAACGCTGGAGAGGGTGTGGAGAAAAGGGAGCCTTCCTACGCTGCTGATGGGAATGTGAACTGAAGTATCCACTATGGAGAATACCACAGAGGTTCTTTACAAAACTAAAACTAGACCTATTATCAGTTCAGTTCAGTTGCTCAGTCATGTCCGACTCTTTGCAACCCCATGGACTGCAGCACGCCAGGCCTCCCTGTCCAGCGCCAACTCCCGGAGTTTACTCAAACTCATGTCTATTGAGTTGGTGATGCCATCCAACCATCTCATCCTCTGTCATCCCCTTCTCCTCCCGCCTTCAATCTTTCCCAGCATCACGGTCTTTTCAAATGAGTCAGTTCTTTGCATCAGGTGGCCAAAGTATTGGAGTTTCAGTTTCAGCATCAGTCCTTCCAATGAATATTCAGGACTGATTTCCTTTAGGATGGACTGGTTGGATCTCCTTGCTGTCCAAGGGACTCTCAAGAGTCTTCTCCAACACCACAGTTGAAAAGCATCAATTCTTCAGCGCTCAGCTTTCTTTATAGTCCAACTCTCACATCCAAAAATGACCAAAAAACCATAGCTTTGACTAGATGGAACTTTGTTGGCAAAGTAACGTCTTTGCTTTTTAATATGCTAATTTGGTCATTACTTTTCTTCCAAGGAGCAAGTGTCATTCAATTTCATGGCTTGCGGCCACCATCTGCAGTGATTTTGGAGCCCAAAAAGGTAGTCTGTCACTGTTTCCACTGTTTCCCCATCTATTTCCCATGACGTGATGGGACCAGATGCCATGATCTTAGTTTTCTGTATGTTGAGTTTTAAGCCAACTTTTTCACTCTCCTCTTTCACTTTCATTAAGAGACTTTTTAGTTCTTTGCTTTCTGCTATAAGGGATGTGCATATCTGAGGTTACTGATATTTCTCCCAGCAATCTTGAAAAATTGCCAGAAGATCTACCATATGACCGAGCAATCCCACTCCTGGGCATATACCTGAAGAAAACCATAATTCCAAAAGACACATGCACCACAATGTTCACTACAACACTTTACAACAGCCAGGACATGGAAGCAACCTAAATGTCCATCAACAGAGGAATGGATAAAGAAGACGTGGTACATACATACAATGGAATATTACTCAACCATCAAAAAGAATGAAATTGTGCCATTTGCAGAGATGTGGATGGACCCAGAGACTGTCATGGAAAATGAGTCAGATAAAGAAATATATTCTCTATTTTAATGCATATATATGGAATCTAGAAAAACAGGACAGAGGAACCTATTTGCAGGGCAGGGATAGACACACAGAGAACAAACATATGCATTCCAAGGGAGGAATAGAAGGTAGGATGAATTGAGATTGGCATTTACAAATATATACACTCCTATGTATGGAGGAGGAAATGGCAACCCACTCCAGTATCCTCGCCTGGAGAGTCCCGTGGACAGAGGAGCCTGGTGGGCCACAATCCATGGGGTCACAAGAGTCAGACACAACTGAGCAAGTAAACCTACCTACCTACACTGCTACGTATAAAACAGATAACTAGTGGGTGTAGCGCGACAGACTCTAACTCAGTGTTGTGGGGACCTAAATGGCAGGGAAATCCAAAAAAGAGGGGACACATGTGTATGTAAGGCGGGGTCACTGTGCTGTACACAGAAACCAACACAAGATTGTAAAGCAACCATACTCCAATAAAAGTTTTTCTTTTTTAAAGAAAGAAATCACAATGGCTTTAAAGAAGTCACAGGCCTCTCCTCTGACAGCCTGCCCGACATGCTCAGGGTAGAGTTTGCAGGACAGAAAGGCGTGCTGAGGTCTCTGATTTCACCTTCTGCCAGAACACGGCGTCAGGAGAAGGGCGACCACTTACTTGGTGCTGGGTCTTATTCTCCATGTGCCCCAGCTTCACGTTCATCTTGTCCTGAACCGACACCAGCTCTGCTTTGATCTCCTCCACAGCTGCTTCCAGCTGATTCTCCAGCTTGTTGATCAGGGGTTCACACCGACAGCCGTTTATTGGCGCCTAGGAGGAAAGCCGGGAAGGACTCAGTTCAGCTCGTTTACTCCTTGGTACCTGTCCTGTGTTGGTCAGGTCACCCGGGGGACACAGGTGATGGTGGACACTCACCCCTGGGGAAGCTCTGGACTGTCGCGCAAGCCAAGCCCACAGGGCTGGCAAACGCTAAGAGGATTCAGAGAGGGGAACGTACAGTCCCCGTCCTCAGATGCCCTTCTGTGTGTGTGTGCACTCCATGCAGCTTGCAAGATCTTCGTTCCCAGGTAAGGGATCAAACCCAGGCCCCTGGCAGTGAAGGCAACAAGTCCCACCCACTGGGCTGCCAAGGAATTCCTTCAAGCTGCTTTTATCCTTTCCCTGGTCTCAAAATTATCTGGTCTCCTAAGGATGGTGCTGGAGAAAACTCTTGAGAGTCCCCTGAACTGCAAGGAGATCAAACCAGTCAATCCTAAAGCAAATGAACCCTGAATACTCATTGGAAAGACTGATGCTGAAGCTGAAGCTCCAGTACTTTGGCCACCTGATGCGAAGAGTCGATGCATTGGAAAAGATCCTGATGCTGGGAAAGACTGAAGGCAAAGAAGAGTGTAACAAAGGATGAGATGGTTGGATGGCATCACCGATTCAATGGACATGAGTTTGGGCAAGCTCCCAGAGACAGTCAGGGGCAGGGAGGCCTGGTGTGCTGCCGTCCACTAGGTCACAGAGTCGGACATGAGTTAGCGACTAAACAAGGTTGGTGCAGAAAGCCCTGCACCATCCCTTGCCTCACCAGGCCTAAGCAGCAGGAGGGTAGTATACTATTTAGGTGGAGAGGGCCAGCTGGCTTATCATCAAAGCTCCTGCCTTCTGGAGTCACCGCCTACAGTGGGTATCAGCCTCCAGCAACAGGGTTGCAGACTCCTTGCTTGCAGCCCTCGGGCCTGTGCTGACAGGGCCCAGCAGGTACCTGCATCACTTTGCCGTCCTTGCCCCGGTACAGCGTGTAGAGCTGGTACGCTCTGAACTCATGCGGCGGGGGCGGGGACGAGCAGCGATGCCTGGGCCTCTTTTTAGGGTGATTGTGAGCGTGCACGTTCTTCTGCTGGCCGGGCTGCTGGTCTGCCGGAGGGGTGGGGTCAGAAAACGCTGACACCTGTGGGAGACGAGGAGACGCCGCTGTGAGCACGTGACACCTGCGAGCCTGACGCCCAGCCAGCGGCGCCCCGCGGCCCACCACGCTCTCTGGCGGCGTTCTACTCTAGGGACCCCGTGCCAAGGGCGCTGTCACACGCTAACCTTGGTCTGCAGCCGGCCAGGGCCAATTTCTGCGCTCTGGCTCCGAAGCAGCAAGCCAGCCAAGTGAAGTGGCTTTTTAACTGCTGGGCATGACGCTACCCCAGGGCCCTCCGCCAGCCCACCTCCCAGCCCTCTCGGCGGCTCTCACGTGCCTCCTGACCTTGGGTCTTGACTTTCTCTGTCTGCTGTCCTTTGCTCTGGGCTCCGGGGAGGCGGACAGGACATCTTCTCTGGCCTCTTCTTTCCTGGGTGCAGCCTGTTCACTACTATGGGTGTCTCCTGCCGAGACACTTCCCTACAGAGGGGGGAAAAAACCCAGACACCTCCTCTACTGGACCCCTCAGCCTTATTCCATCATGGCATAACATTTCCCAGACTCCATCCACTTAAAGGACCCCTGGGAATCGTTAAAAAACAACAAATTTCAGACAGAGGGAACACTGCTTGTGATTCTAACTGAACATCTGAGCTTTTCCTGGGGAGTTGAATATTTGCCTTTTTATTTAATAGGTGCCAAACTAGATATCGCCTGTGTTTTAGAACTTCTGGAAGCTAGCACACATGAAACACTTCAGCATTAGAGGGTTTTTTTTTAATCTTTTACATTTCAACAAAAAGAAAACCCCACTCATTCTTTGAACTTGGACCCTCACAATTCATAGAGGAGAATGAGAACCCTTTGAAATGAAGGGGGGAAAAAAATCACCATTTCTAGTCCTTTTGAGAACATTTACAAGTTAACATGTAGAATTCACACACAGGAACGTAATGAAAGTTACAATGCCTTAACCCTGGAAATTGGTAAGATTCTCAAATGGACAGAAAAACAAGTACTTGGTATAAAATTTTATGTCCCCCAAATTGTCTCTAAATCCTAGTCTTCTTCCCCCTGGGGGAGCTGAAAGACATGGTTCATTCCAGAGCTGCCACGTACAGTTGTGCAAGCTGCTCACTGCACAAAGGCGCGAAGCCAAGGGCATGGGTGAGGCAGAGGGGGCTGAACTCCAGCTCCGGCTCTTCTCACCGTTAAGTGCCCTGTGCTGGGCTGATGTCCGGGAGGCAGCTCCTTCTAATTTGCACAAGTAGCCGTGTGGGCTAGCACTGCCTGGGTTTATTCCCTAAGAGGAAACAGAGGCAGCAAGCTACGCCAGTGGTCCTCCAAGTTTAGTCCAGATTCAAATCACCTGGAGAGCCTGTTCAACCACAGATGGCTGGGTGCACAAGTAGCCGTGTGGGCTAGCACTGCCTGGGTTTATTCCCTAAGAGGAAACAGAGGCAGCAAGCTACGCCAGTGGTTCTCCAAGTTTAGTCCAGATTCAAATCACCTGGAGAGCCTGTTCAACCACAGATGGCTGGGCCCCACCCCAGAGTTTCTGAAACAGTGGGTCTGGGGTGAGGCCCCCAAATTTGCATTTCTAACAAGGTTCCAGGTGACAAGTGGATCCACATTTTGCAAATTTCACTGCTCTACATGATGGAGGGTGTGCTGTCAGAGGCCGTGCTGTCCCAGTGGAAGTGACGGGGCCACAGATGCTCAGGGCTCGCAAATACACGGGGTGTTGGAAAAGCCCAGTGGCATGCGAGCTCACAGCCTGAAATCTGGGGAGAGTGGAAGACAAGAGGCCGGAAGGAAAGACAGGCTCTGAAGGACCCAGCAGGAAGGAGAGACCGAGGCGGGCCCAGCGGAGGCAGGGAGAGTTTCCCACCCGCGGGCGGGCGGGAGGGCCGCCCCACACCTTGCCTTGGGCCACCTCATCTCTCGGCACAGACTGAGCTCTCCTCTCTTCCTTGAGCCTCTCTCTCTTTTTCCTCAGGCTTCGCCCACGACTGAAGCGCAAGACCTGAAGGAGGCAAGAGGCATCGTTACAAACCACTGGAGCGCCGACCTGCCGAGAGCCTCCGGCCGAGCCGGGGAGACCAGCTGCCGTGTCCCGCGCGCCCTGGGCTCCCAGGGCCCCAGAGGTGCAAGGCCGTCATTCCTGACCTTCAGGAGCTGACGGTCTACAGCGACACCAACAGGCACGCAGTCCGGGCCAGGGCCGCCACGTGGGTGTGAGCAGGTTGTGCACTGCTCAACTCCAGGGAGCGCCACTCAGAGTCCAGGGCAGGGACGGAGTCCCCTGGGGTTGTGCGGCACGGCAGCCCTATGCCAGGCACAGTCTGTCTTGGGATACAGGGCCTGATCTAGCCCACCAGACGTCCTTCTCGGCCGAATTGTATCCAAGTCGTATTCAGATAGAACTTTCATTCAAATATAACTGAGATGCACCTGTGAACCACAGTACCAGCCACGGGGCTGGAGTCTCTTCCCCCAGAAGAAGGTTTTGGTCGGCCCCTTCGAGTGCAGAGACATGGAAGGGACGCGAGCAAGGACATGCGGGGCCCTGCAGACTGAAGCCCGGCAGCAAGCTGGAGATCTTCAGGCAAGTGATCTGACCCCTCTGCGCTCTGGCTTCTCAAACATGAGAACAGGGAGCTGCTGGTATTAACCAAGATAAAGCAGGCAGCGGGCACACCTGGCCCATCGGTCCTGGTCAGGCGTCTCCCACCTGCCCGGGGGCCTTAGAATCACTGAGTTGGCAGAAAGGCTTCTAAGCGAACACAGAACAAAGATCTTTGAGCTGGTGGGAACCGCCAGTCTCTGGCCCAGCCCCACACCCTTCTCCTCCAGACTCCCTACTCCTAGTTCCAGGGTTCACTCCCTTTAAAAAACCAAAGGAGGTCCAGAAGTCGGAAGCACCTTCAAGGTCACACTCTTTCTGCAATGAAACACTATTTTATTGTCTCATAGATAGACAAGCATTGTCTGAAATTCAGCCTAGTGATTTTCATCTCAAGGTCAGACTTTCTTCTTGTGCTCATTAAATTCAAATGATACATTATACGACAAAAAAAAAAAACCAAACAACACCATCAACAGGCAGTGGGTACCACCTAAATGGAAAATATATGCCTGCAGCTGAAAAGAATTTTTAAATTATATTCTCATCCCCTGAAAGCAGCAGGTCTAAAAGTGTCCAGGGACCCCTGTGTCCATGAGGTTAAGATCATTTTCATAATATTACAACACTGGCATTTTTCACATCATTCTCTCATGAGTGTACGGTGGTGTTTGCCAGAAGCTACGTAAGTGACATTACAATAGATTGCATGCAGAAATAAAAGATGGCAGAATTCTGATCTAAGTAAGACAATCAAGAAGATGTGCGAGAAACTTTCAACAATTCTCTCTCCTCAATTTTTGTTTTGAAAAGTATTCTTTTGCAAAATGATGCTATTTATGTTATTACAAAATGGATTTACTTTCAAATGATTAAAGTATTTAATATTTCTCAACTTTACTTTCAATTGGAAACTACTGATAGATATAAACTTACATACATAAAGTTCATTATGGGCCTCCATAACGTTGAAGAAAAGTTAAAGGGTCTTTAGATAGAAAAGGTCTGAGAACCAGTGTCCTAAGCCAAATGTAGACTCAGTAGGAAGTCGAGTCAGATGAAAAGAAGCAACTAGTGCCCTCTGCTCATCTGCTTTACGGACACTTAACAGCACACAGCTCCAGAATCAGCCTAAAAGTCACTTTCCGAAGCATCTGTGCACCACATCCACCAAAAATGAGAAGTAACATTCAGTTCACAAAACACTAAATAATCAGAAAAATTCCCTCCACTGACCACATTATTGGCCAGTGGCAACTCTGCATGGCTCACAGCCTTTCTCAGAGAACTGTGCCATCCACCCGGATCACCAGTCTTCTCCACTTCACAGAAACCAGGGAATATTAACCCTAAGGTCTCGGAAGGAAACACCCTCGTTGTACTGCTGTGAACCATCAAAATACATGATCAACTAAGGTGCCGGGACAAGGGGATTTCTCATTTCAGGTAAGACAAACACCGAGGCCATTTCTGTAACTACAGATTAACAGAACAGTATGCATGCAATTTTGTGCATATTCCAAAGCTTTTACTTTGCATTGAAAAATAAGGGTTAGTACATACAATTATGTAAAAAAAAAAAAAAAACTTTAAAAAATATTCTATTTATTTGCTAGTCAGTATGGGTGTGGAGACTTCCCTGATGCGTGTGGAAAATCTTACGTAAGCTGTTTTTAAAAAAATATTTATTTGGCTGCTGGATCTTAGTTGTGACATCTGGGATCTAGTTTCCTGACCAGGGACCAAACCCGGGCCCCCTGAAATGAGAGCATGGGGTCTTAGCCACTGGATCACCAGGGGAGTCCCAAGCCATTTTTTTTAATGGTAAAGGCTAAAGGAGAACCCACACAGGAAAATAGTTCACAAGTGAGCTTTATCCCTGGGAATCTAGATCCCTGGGCTCTAGAAGATAAATGACAGGCAGGTTAAAGGCACCTCAGTCCTTGTGTTCCAGGGGAATCCTCCACCCCACAAGACTTGACGGTCTTCATATGGCTGAGCACAGGGCTGGCTGTCCATCAAACTGCCAGACTCTGAAACGCCAGGTAACTGCGATGGATTCTGACACTTAAACAACACCCTGTCCTTTTTGACCCAGGAGAGGCGAGCATTTTTCTATCAGGATTCTGGAGGTGATTCTGCTGAGAATCTGTGGATCTCCAGAGCCCACTGAAAAGGACTTACTCCATGGACAAGAGGGTGATCGATTCCGCAAAAGATAAAATCTTAACTATTTCCAGAAACTGCTAGTTACATCAGGCATGTTTTTAACACGAGATGGAATCAAGGCCACCTAGAACCCGAGGCTGCCTGGGCCTGGGCAGCACCTGGGGTCCGGGCTGTCCCTTTGGCTCCCCGAGACGATGCCTTCTTGCAGCATTAGCCAGAATAAGGTGGAAAACTAATCACTGTTTGCCGTAAAGGAACAGGGTAGCTCCAAGTGGGAAATAACCAAAATGTCAATAAACCATTAAGGAAATGGTTTAATACTGGTCGGTCAGCAACCAGAAAAGAATATTATGCTTCCATTATGATAAATAATTGTGAAGACTACAGAACAGGTTCCTATCACAGATAGGATAAAGGGGAGAATACAAAGGGGGATATACATAGTAGGTACAGCTATATAAACATTATGTATCTGTGGAAGGTACTATAAACAAAGCTATTTCAGGGTGCTGAAATCATAAATAGCTTATAGATTATCATGATTAAATTTCTGACTTAGATCGTTTCAACCTCAAATATCAGTCATCTATTAAAATTGAATGATGGCCAATATACCATCATGCAATATTTAATTAAAAGGAGTACAACTGTACTGTACTCAGCTGCCTCTAGTGGACATACACGGCTGCCCAGACAGATGCCCATCCCCACCTTTCTCTGGGAAATACCTCCTGTAACCACGTGGCCAAACATCTCCCTAACGCACCTCGGTCCCACTTGCTCTGGGCGTCCGCCCCGAGCTCCCAACCAGTCTTCTCCCATGATGTCTTACTGTTCTCGCTTTCTGGCTGCCCTGCACACACTATGGGGCCTTCCTTCCCCTGCCAAGGATCAAGCCCACGTGCCTGCGTTGGAAGCACAGGGTCCTAACCACTGGAACGCCAGGGAAGTCTCTCCTACGGCGTTTCAAACTGGTACATTTCCCTGGCTGGGAAATTACGATCCAGGAAACTGGTTGTGACAATGATCCAGCCACAGAGAGGAAACGATGCCCGTGCATGAGAACAGCCTGCTGGGCCTGAGGTCTCTGGTTCCAGTTTCCCAGAGGCTCACGCGGATTCCTACATTTCCCACTACCTGCTCAGGAAACCCATCAGTCCCTTACATAATGTGGTTTGATCTGGCTTCCGTAGATCGCGACCCAAGGAATCCCAACAACTCTGAGGCCCCCGCATAATCAATACAAGGGAAAATGCGGGCAGATCCTACCTGGGGCGCTTTAGTGAGGAGGAGAGCCACTTCCGGATTATTGTGGTAGCGGGCAGTCTCCAGCGGAGTCCGGCCTGCCTACGGAGAGGCACAGGGAGGGCCAGTGAGTACGCGACTCCAGCCGGGACACGCACGCGCGCCCAGCCGGGACACGCACGCGCGCCCAGCCGGGACACACACGCCCTGCTGGGACACGCGCAGCCCAGCTGGGACAGCACTCCGGGGGGCTGGCAACCCCACAGCGGGGCACATGAGCACCCATACATGACCAGTGAAACACAACTGCGCGTGTGACACAGCCCTGCTCCTGACCCTCACCCATTTAACAGGGGAGCCCAGTCACAGCTTCAGAAGGTGGTGGTGTTTAGTCTCTAAGTCGTGTCTGACTTTTTTTCGACCCTGGCCAGGCTCCTCTGTCCATGGGATTCTCCAGGCAAGAATACTGGAGTGGGATGCCCTTCCGTCCTCCAGGGGATCTTCCCAACCCAGGGACTGAACCCGCATCTCCTGCATCGCCAGGTGGAAAGTCAGACACACTCAGTGACTAAACCACCACCAGTCACACCCGAGGGAAGTGGTGGTGCTGTGAGCAGTGAGTGACTGGGAGACCAAGGTCGGGGCGCTGCTCAGCCAGGAAGGCTTCCTGGAAAAGAGATGAGGGAGGTTTAAAAAACAAACAAAACAGACAAGGGGAAGATGGAACATCTCAGCTGAGGAAACAGAATCATAAAACTCTAGCCAGGTGATACATTTCCCCTGGAGAACAACGGAGAAGACACCTGCAGGGCAGATCAGGGTCTGGCCGCAGAGACTCAAGAACCGGATTATGAAAAGCAAGAAGCTGTGGCCGTGACAGAGGCTCGAGCGAGATTCAGCCCCAAACCAGGAGCTGATGACAGCGGGATTCAGAGGAAGGGAAGGGTGCCCAGTCAAGGTACTAGAGCTGGAAGGCCGGCGGGGGACAGCTAGATAGGGAAGCCTTTCACCAGCTTCCATACCCCAACGCCCCAGACGACTATTCTGCCCCCAGGGGCCCCCTGCCCCCCACCAGCCCGAGACTGTGCTGTTTCAGGAGCGCACACACCACGGGCCAACCTTGAGAAAGAGAGGGTGTCTGAGCTGGGGCCTGCTATACGATCAGACAGACAGACAGACAAGGGATGGGAAGGTGAGGGGAGAGGAGGAGAGGGAAGGAGGAAAATATTGAGAGGAGGAACAGAAGATGATGTTGGAGAGAAATGAACTGGAGCTTTGAGGAAGACTGACCTGGTGGCCGTTTTTCTAAGGACCACATCTGTTTAGAAGGCCTGGAAGTCACTTCCAGTATCATCTGCTTGCCCGTTTACTTAGACAGCCCTGACCCTTTTCATGTCGGGACATGCTCACTGAACTGTCTGACGAGGGGCCCTCGGGGTCTGTGACATCACGGGGCTGTTGAGAGCAGGGGTCCCCTCGAGCCCACCGCCTCTGGCCCCAGGGGTCGTGGGGTGGGCACGCTGCAGCTCTTCCAGAGCGGGGCTGGGCGAGGCTGTGTGCCCTGAGTTCGCAGGAGGCGAGGTGGCCACAGCACAAGCTGACCCTGCGAGGGGTGGGCACGGCTTTAGAAAACTCCACTTACATTATTGACGATGGTCCCATCTGCTCCGGCTTCCAGCAAGACTTTAACCACCTTCTTGTGATTCAGGGCAGCGGCAATATGAAGTGCTGTGTCTCCAGCCTGGAATCCATCAGAAGAAAGCCCGCTGAACCCCATGGGATCGTGGCCCACAGCCCTGCAGCTTTTTATCCCATGGCTTGGTGTTGGCTTTTCAAAGTTAAACTAAAATTTGCCTTAGACTGACAAGTGGCCCTTGGCTAAAGTATTATGTGGTTCTTTTTATTATTTCTTTAAAATATTTCTTTTAACTTATACTTTGTTTTTTAAATTATTTTATTGACATATAATTGATTTATAATGTATTAATTTCTTCTATATAGCAATGTAATTCAGTTATATATTTTTATGTCCTTTTCCATTATGGTTTATCACAGGATATTGAATATAGTTCCCTGTGCTATAGAGTAGGATCCTGTTGTTTAATGGTTCTTTTTTAAAAGAGATCTTGGAAACTGAATGAACTACGCACAAATAGCACATTCCTTTCTGAGTGGGATGCCAGAAATCACAGGACAGGGCTAAGTGCAGGGAGGCCAAGCAATGCTGGGCCTGGGATGTTGGGAATGGCAGGCCCTGACCTTACACAGAGGCAGGATCTCAGCCATGTATTTTAAATATTTATTTTACCTCATACTTTTTAACATTTTTACTTTAAAAGGTAGCTCTGGACCCTGTCTGTCTGCCCTGGCAGAGGATGGGCAGAGAACCCGTTGGTTTCTGAGCTAGAACGAGCAGGAGCTTCTAAGGTAGCTACTTCTACAGGCCCCAGAGTAATAGCTCAGCCCTGAAGCCACTCTTAGGGATGTGAAAGGGCCACTGGGATCATCCTACAGGCCAGGGAGTTTTCTGTTCGGGTGGAGTCACTGACGATCGCGTTCATTTAACACCAGCTGTTTTCAACTCCTTACCAAATTTAGCCAATAATTTATTTTTGACAAAAAGCGTTTCAGACAATCAAAGGAGGATATGAACAGATGCAGCTTGGTGGGCCAATTACAAATGCAAATGTTGGTTTTAATTCCCAAACCGGATGACATAAATAAGTCAGATGCATACAGAAGTGCAATCACTCATTCATTCATTCCTTGCAGGTGATCAAGTATGAAAATCCAAGCATCTTCGGGCCTCCTTCCCTGGTGAGTAGACAGCGAAAGTGTTCATTTCATTCCTGAGTCACCTAGGTGTATGTTAGGGGAAGTTCTGGAGCTGTGGTTTCCAGTTTCTGCTGCTCACTGGAATCAGCTGGGAAGCTTTATAAACTACTGACGCCGGAGTCCCACCCAGACATTGACTTAATTGGTCTGGAGCATGGATAGGGCATGATGAGTTTTCAAAGCTCCCAGGTGATTGAAACGTGCCCCCCAGGTTGAGAAGCGCTGGTTGGTGAGGCCTGTGTTGGGGTAATCTGACAAACGAGAATCCACGGGGAGGCTGTAGAAGGACAGACTGTAGCCGTTAGGTCAGTGGTTCTCAATCCTGTCTGCACACTCAGGCACGGGATTTTCCAGGCAAGAATACCGGAGTGGGCTGCCATTTCCTTCTCCAGGGCAAGTTCCCGACCCAGGGACTGAACCCTGGTCTCCTGTATTGCAGGAAGTCTCCTGAACTGCTGACAGAGTCTTTACTGAGTCCCCAGGGAAGCCCACACTTAGACCAGGAGCTTTCAAAAAATACTGTTTCCTGGACCTCACCCCCGGATGTTCTGGTCATCTACATTAGGGGTGGGATTCAGGAATGGCATATTTAAATTCCCTTTTGATTCCAATATGCAGCCAGGGTCAATAATCATCATTATAGGGTATTTTAAATCTGAATCATGACCTAATTTTTAAAATTTCAGATTTATGCACCCAAACTCAGAAAAGCCAAACCATGCATCCGTTAGGTATAGGCTTCAATAAATAACAGGACAACTTTTAAAAATCCAAATGACTATTGAAAAGTCACATTTCCACAGGACACCGTAATAACCACGGCTTTATCTCAAAACCCCACTACACGACGGAGATACTGACCACGCCCCGAACTTCACAGAAGCAAGGGGCTCCATCAGCTTAGCTCACATAAAGGGGGTGGCGCGAGGAACAGAACTCGGGAGTCACGACACCGAACGCCCGTGCTTACTTACCAAGCCACTCTTCCTTGCGGGTTTCATTTCTAAAAATCACACTAACGACAAAACCCACCCCCAGGATTTCCAAAAAAGGTTCACGATGCAAATGTGGTGACACGCCCTGGAACGCCAGAGCAGGCTTTCTCCAGAACGCCAGAGAAACCAGGGCCACGGGAAGCCTGCGCTTCCTTCAGAGGCCAGCACTGGCGAGCCCCACATCGGGAGAAGGCGCCGCCTCCCAGCACCCTGTCCCCGCCGGCGCTCACGCACCTACCAGCGGACCGTGGGGAGGACACGTGCACTGACCTGGTTCTTCTCATGGACAGAACAGAAAGCGCTGAGGAGGAGCTTAATGATGGACAAGTGGTTGTAGCGTGCTGCGACGTGCAAACAGGTGTCGCCTGCCTGCGGACAGAGACCACACTCTTAAGCACGGTCTGGGTGGTTACAAAACAAAACAGCAAATTAAAAGAAAACTATCCTTTACAAGCTAGCAGACAAGCACGTGTTCCTCACAGGGCAATGGCCTGAATGACAAGCATCTCCTTTATCACAGGTGCTCACTCCACGACTGGCAGCCCTTCCCTGCATGCAGCTTTCTTTCCCACCACGCAGACTCTGTCTCCGGTTTCAGGTCCTGGAGGCCTGCTGCCCAAGAGACCTTCGCCAAAACTGAGAGAGGCTCTGCCTAGCAGACACTTAGTCAGACTCCACTGACCCCTGCCTCTCCTATAACCCAAAGGCTCTGGATGACACTGCCCAAGACCGACAGCATCGCTTTGGAAATGAGACTTTCCCCATCACAGATCCATTGTGGCTGAATGGACTAGGAAAGTGGGATGAGTTGCTGGATTTTAAGATTACGTGCTCTAAAAAGTTCAAGTGCATCCCATTCTAGCAGTACCCCAGGATCCCACGGGGAGCAATGCAGTCTAGGGAGCTGACGAGGAAGCAATCACTGGGCATAAAAAGGGACATTCAGAAGCAGTCAGGAGCAGGGTCTTCCTTGGTGGTTCCAGGCCAAACTGCTCCCAGAGGGAAAACGAGAGAGCTGGAGACGATCTCGTGACGCTTTGCGGAGCTCCCCTGACTTCTCACTTGAGCTCTAGTTCTGTCTAGAGATGGTGACGCTTCAGCACAACCTTCTCCTCTGGACTAAGGAGGGACCAAGCTCAAAGCTGAAGTTCAGAGCATTCTCAGGACCACTTTAGGTAAGCCTGCCCCCAGTCAGGGAACCCCAGCTAAAAGTCATTTTTTTTCTTTGGCCACGGTGCACAGCCTGTAGGACTTGCTTCCCCAGCCAGGGGTCAAATCCGTGCCCCTTGCAGTGGAAGCACAGAGTCCTAACCACTGGACCACCAGGGAAGTTGCCCAGCCAAAGTCACTTTTGAGAGAAGCCTCAGATTCTTTTGCCATGTGGCATCAGCTTCATGAAGGAAATCCAGTGTCCATGGAGGGAAGGGGGATGCCCGTGGGACCTTTCAGGTCAGGAACCTCCAAGAACTACTGGTCATCAGCTCATCCCAAGGATGCCTCAGGGGCAGATTTGTAGATGCTGGGCATGGAGCATCAGACAGCCTCCCCAGGCCAGCCTCAGCCTGTATTTACTAAGAGTGCAACACTGTGTGGGCGGAGGCTTCCTGAAAACAATTACTCATTCTTAGACCCACTTGCTAGACACCTGCTGTACAAAATGATAAAACCCACTGAGAGGCTGAGGAGTAAGGGGCAAGCGTGGGAGAAGAATCAGTGTTTCCGAGTGTTGATTCCTCTTCCCATTCCCCTAATGCAGGGGTCCCCAACCTCTGGGCCACGGACTGGTACCTCTTGTCAGATCAGCGGTGGCATTGAGGTGCACAATAAACGTAATGCACTTGAATCATCCCCAAACCATCCCCCAACCCTGCCTCCATCCGTGAAAAAATTGTCTTCCATGAAACCCGTCCCTTAAGCCAAAAAGATTGGGGACTGCTGCAAAAGGATCCTTTAGGAATTAGCAACAAATGAATACTTTCTTGATAGTCCCTAAACCCCTTTTATTAACAAATTTTCATTTTCTACACGTGAGTATTCTAGTGTGCTTTCATACTGGAGGCAATGGAAGAGAGTGCAAGAGATGCTACTTTTGTTCACCCACATTATTTTTGAGGTCGGCGCGGGAGCCGCCCAGCAGAAGGACGCGGGTGCTCTGGGCATGGCTGTTCTGGCAGGCCAGGTGCAGAGCCGTGTTCCCTGCCTGGGAGAGAGGCGAACAGAGGGGGCACATGTTAGCAACACCCCCCGCAGGCCGGGCACGCTTGCAGGGGGCCAAGACTCACAGGAGAGTCCCTGTCTGCACTCTCCGCCTTCTGCTCGGTGGACCCCATCGGGGTGCTTCAGAGGCGAACATGTAACTGGGAATCCAAGCCAGCAGAGGGGTCACGTGGGCCATAAAACCTCGGTTCCGAGCCCTGGCTCTGCCGCTTACTGCTTGCAAGCTACTGGGGAATGCTCTTAATAAGCGCCACCGTGGATTCCTCACCTGTAAAGTGGAGCATGACCCCCATGTGCTGGGACAGTGAGGGTTGATTCGGAGGGCTGAGGAGACCGTCTTCTTCACGGCAGAGCTCTGGGCACATGCACAAGGCTGTTCCTCTTAGTTGTAAGAGGAACATGGAACAGCTGTGGACGGCCTACCAATGGCGGTAAAACAGGCCGATTCCAGCGGGCTACAGTAACAGATTTAACTTGCAAGCCTCTTCCGAATCTTGGCTTTTTCTTGAAACATTAAAATTTAAACTATGGGCAAGGTCCCCCACAGGACACGCAATACAACTGCATCTACCACTTCCCATAGAGATAGAGACCCTCTTGCTTTTGGGAGTTTACCTTCAAGGTCAAATGGCAAACAAAGGTCAGGATCACATAGACTACAATCTTGCAGAAAGACTGCACGGACAAGGAGAGAACTTTCTGAAACCAGGGGAATGAGGCCTGCAAGGCTGCTGATAACCCCTAGGAGAGTGACAAGAAAAGCAGGCAACGTGATTCGGTGCGAGGATTTGGGAGATTAAACACATAAGCTCCGTGTTTGTTCTGCTGAGCGTAAAAGCTGGGTCAGGCCTGCAGTTCTGGGCTCAGAGCTGTCAGCCTGTTTATGGCTTTTCCCTGGCCCGGTTCACTCCTCTTTGGATCACACGGCACTGTCTGCCCAGACTCAAGGATGGTTTATATTCCTTACCTTTGAAAAGAAGAATGGGTTCTTAAAAACAGAAGAAAGCTGTGTGCTGCAGGGCCACTTACCATCCTTCTCATGACCTTAGCTCTAACCAACCTGGGCAGGGTCTTTCTTTCCTCGCTGCTACCTCCGGTAACGTGGTGAGTTCTGAGCCTGAGAGTTGAGTGAGTTTGTTGGTTATCAAGTGCAGGTAGGACTCAACTGGGGGACCCTTCCAACAGACCAGTGCACGGATGCAAGGCAATGTCCCCGCCCCAGGGGGTGGGGCCAGGCTGTTCACGTGTAGGTGCTGAAAGGTCTGCATTCTGGGATGCATCCCTTCCCTAACTCCAGGGAAAAGCAGGACAGCTGGTCATCCCAGGCCTGCTCATCATGTGGGTTTGGTTTTCTCCCCTCTTCTCTCCCCTGCTTTTTTTTTTTAAACTTTCCCAGGAGAGTTTAAAGTGCAGCCAGATAGAGGCACTGCCAGCTTAGTCCTCCAAAACAAAGGGTCTGCCCACATTTTAAACACTCCGTTCCCTGGCAGGGCTCAGGGCTCAGCTTAGTGAACTCTCAGTACACATAGAGAAGGTTTTCCCAAAGTTGTTGGCTTCTTGGGAGTCACTTAAATATATGTTGAAAAAAATATATGTTAAATATATGTTGAAAAGAAATCTGATGGCTGTACAACAAAATTTACTTTGTCAATAAGAAAATATCCATCATGCTGAAGAGCATTTGGAGTAAGAAAATGAAAAAACATGGGCTAGAATACAGATTATGGTATATGCACACAGTGGAACATTACTCAGTGATCAAAAGGAATGCACTCATCATACATGTAATAACATGGAAGGCTCTCCAAACCAATGTGTAAAATGAGAGGAGACACAAAAGGCTGCAATGTCAAACCTGAAATTCCAAAAACTGCCCTGCTGTATACATAGCGGGCATGTTTCCCACCCTGAGTAACGAGGACTGATTTCTAGACAGGGGCTGCTGTACTTCGCTGAGTGAGGACCTTTCTGATGCGACGGAATATTATCCAACCTTTACAAAGAAAGAAATCCTGTCACTTGCAACAATATGGATGAACCTAGGGGGTGATACACCAAGTGAAATAAGTTAGACAGAAAGGCAAATACTCTGTCATCTCACTTCTATGTGGAGACTGGGAAATAAAAAGATGGACTTGTAGAAAGAGAGAGTAGAAAAGTGGCTGCCGGAAGCTGGAGTTGGGGGTGGAGGGGGACGCAGAAAGTGGTAAAAGGGCATAAACTTCCAGCTCTAAGATGAACACGGTCTTCGAATCTAATGTGTAACATGGGGCCTAGACTGTTAACACTGTCTTGTATAATTGAAATTTGCTAATTGTTGAACTTAAATGCTCTCTCACACATACACAAAAAGGTAAATAAGTGGGGGTGATCAATGTGTTCATTAACCCTTGGGAGCTATCAAATCGTAATACTGTAGACTTTACGTACCTTATAATTTGTGGGGGAAAAGAAAGCGAGAGGAGGACCTTCTAGAGGCCCCTCGAGGCTGAGGCTGGTGAGCATGAAGCCCCTCTCCTGGGAGGACACCTCCCTTGTGCTGCCCTACCCAGAGAGAAAGCTTGGGGGCCCTCCAGGGCACAGGTGGCAGTGTGCTGAAGTGGACCCAGCTGGGGTAGTTCACAGCCCTAATTGCGCCGCACGAATCACATGTCTCATAAGACTCAGGTGAGGCCTCCCCATCCGTTAACTGGGAACCACCTACTTCGAGTTGGTATAAGCTTACCAACTCCTGTGCCAGGCCGTGGCCCACCTGGAAGAAATGGAGGGCCACCAGTCCTCTAGGCAGTGAGCCGGGCTTTTACTGGAGATGCAGGCTGCTTCCCTGAAGCCCTTGGCCCGTGAGGGCACCACGAGGAAACATCTCACCAGTCAGCACAGCCCAGAGCTGCGTGCGGTCCTGGGAGCCGGAGAAACCTGGCCGCCCGACGGGCAGGTCCCCACCCTAAGGGTCAGTGGGCAGGAAAGAAACCGGGTACCCCTAAGGGAGGGGGCGAGGGAAGAGATGGCGGGCCCACCCTGCAAGCCCAGGAAGCACACGCCAGAGTCGCCCAGAGAGGCTGAGGCTGCTCTGGGGAGGCCCAAGACAGCGACAGGTGAGGAGCTTTCTGGAAAGTTCCCGAGGAGAGGAGGAGCAGATGAGAAGGGGCGACAGATCAGTCTGTTGTGAGGCTTTGGGGCTGATCCGGGGATACGGCAGGGAGGGAAGAGGAGGGTGACAGAGGACAGCAAGGCAGAGGAGATGCTGTGGTCCTTTTCTGCCCCCGCAGGACGGGGCTGGCTCCCATGACCACATTCTCATGGACTGACGGGAAAGCAGGGAGAGCTGCCGCCCTCACGGAAGTGCTCCAAGCTTTCGATTGCACCAGGTTCCAAGGCCCCAAACCCTAGTTCTGCTCGGCAGGAGGAGGCTCCCTCAAGGAAGGCGGACTGGGCCATCCTCACTGTGACCAAGGCGGTCTCACACCTGCCGGACCTCACCTTGTTCTTGGCAAGCACGTTGGCTCCAGCTTTAACGAGCAGCTTGGCCGACTGGCTGAAACCGTGCCAGGACGCCTCGTGCAGGGCCGTGTTCCCGTCCTGGGGGGCACACAGGAGAGAGAGCCCCGTCACCCAAGCCTGATCCACCTGCTCCCTGTCAGCACAGCGCAGGCTGCTTTAAGGCCCACCCAGGGGCCTCTCTTGGCTGGGTGTCCCACCTAAACCACAGAACCCAGGGAGTGAGCTGAGCGGCCAGTCTCCTCCTTCTCCCAGAAGGGTACCTAACACGTACCGCTCCACACGCGCTCCAGCTCTCTGATGCACGGTGGATGACTTAAGGCACTAGGGCTTAAGCCTCTCTGGGGACTGGGGTGGTGAGAAAGGCCCCCACGCACCACTCCCGCTGAACAGAGAGCTGCGTTGGGAGCCGTGGGTCCCTCCCCCACCCACCTACCCGCCCCAGGGGCTTCCCCGCTCCACTCCTGGCCCCACAGAAAACCCTACAAAGATCAGGCAGATGGAAAGTCCATCTTCAGAAGCTCCAGGGGCCCACGGGCGGACAAGTGGGTTCCATAGCTCTTTTTCCTTTCTCCATATCTGATTTCTCGAAGTTTAATCCAGAAGCCTCAGGGCCCCAAACAAATGAGCAGGCACTGGGGACAGTGATTTGTAAATACGGTAAACAGGTGTCCTCCATAGGTGACTTTTAAATAAAAATTGACCAATTCCACAGATCTTGTGTTTGCTTAACTTACTCTTAAAAAAAGAAACATCAAGTGCAATGAATTGAGTGCGGTGGGACCTGGAGGTAGGGTGAGGGAAAGGGAAGCGCAGAGAAGAGGTAGAAATGCCCTCCCAGCTGTTTCAGGCCACTATTTTATTTTTTATCTTTTTTTAAAGGAAACAGAGTCTGGGGGCTTCCACTCAGACTCTCTGGATGTGGAACCCTCCATCCAGGCCTGCACAGCTCATTACTTCCCGACTTTTCCCCGTTTATATTTCTGTGGCTGTTCACTGCTGCCGCAGAAAAGAGGGAAGGGCTTTTTTAAACGTTCAGTTTGCTGGAGACCAGCTACTCTTTCAGCGGGACTCCGGGCTGCTTTCCTCAAGTTGAATCGTGAGCGGTAAGACTCAGGAATGACAGCGTCTCGCGCAGCAGGAAATCCCGAGTGGGCCCCGAGCTGGTGCACCCCCGCCCTGCTCACCTTGTCCTGTCGGTCCAGGGCACAGCCCTCCTGGATGAGCGCCGTGATGACCTCGGTGTTCCCCACCACCGCAGCCCGGTGCAAGGCGGTCTGGTCCCCCTGCAGGGGGTGGGAAGGCAGGGACGGCGGTCAGCACGCTCCAGCCCCCCACCACTTGCTCCCCGGCTTCACCGCTCAGGAAGTAAGGACATCACCCTCAGCCACCAAGGGTCAGCTGGGCTCCGTGATCCAGTCAACAGACGGTGCGTGCCGGGAAGAATGACGATGTTCACAAACTCAGTTGTAACCTTGAGCCAACCGCAGAGCAACCCTGGGCCCCAGAGCTGACCTCTGGATGAGGGTCAGGCTCTTACCCGCCACCCCAGGGGACGGCGACGGCACTATCACAACTGCGATGAGCAGGTCTGAAAGTCAGACCATGGGCTGTGCAAGGTGACTGGCAATGCCTGGAATCTTTACTCTCTGCTGAGTCCTCTCATCCCCCAGGGTCAGAGTCCTCTGAATGCCTACTCTGGCATTCAGCAGCACTCAGGACCCGAGGGTGGGTGGACTCCTTGGCTGACTGGCCCTGGCCTAGGGCAAACAATGCAGGCGATCTGTCAGGACATCTGAGGATGGACGCGGGGACTCAGGCTGTCACTGCACATCTCTAAGACTCTTGCAACATCCCATGACAGCATCCTCACTGTTAGGGCTTGCATCTGACCCTTTTCTCTGTGATCAGATTCCCGGGATGGCCGGCCTCCTCTTTCTCTATCAGGGTGCCAAAGGGAAGTTGACTCCCCCTAATCACAGTTGAGAGAAGGACTAACATCCTAAAGGTAAGACCGTGAAGTCTGTAGCAAGAGATAGTTCTGAAGTCTCCGAGAACACAAGTTATCTCTGACAGGCACTCAGGAAATCAAGTCCAGCCTGGGGTGTAAGCTTGAACAGGGAAATGGGAGAACGGTGTGGAAAATTCCTGGTGGGATGGAAGGGGAGTGGGGCAAGAGGGTCAGGAGATGTGCGCTGCGCAAGCCTTGGCGGACACCTGTCACCTCGCTGGACTTCAAGTTCTTCCTCTGTGAAAGGAGGCAAAGTCCCTCACTTCCCTTCTTGGGGTCTGTGATCTGGGTGGCAAGAGTTTTGCATAAACAATTTTCTGGTGGAACCTAGGAGGGGCAGAGGACATGCTCCGGGCTACTCCTGCTCCTCAGCCCGAGAGAGGAGAGACCGTCTAGAACACGGAGCTCCCGGGACTTTTTACAGAGGGCTGCCCTGCTACCTATAAACAGCCTTCATCAAATCCTGGTTCTACTTACATCTCTGGGATCTGTAACAAATGACAATGCACTTTAAAAGCACTTAATCCGAAAAAACATTCTGGAGAGAGACCGTGGTGATGTTTGCATAACAATGCAAATGTACTTAATGCCAAAGAACTGTGCCCTTAAAAATGGTTAAAATGGTCAATTTGATGTATAGTTCATCACAAATAAAAAGCACTTAATCCTACTTAAAAACCAAATTCACATTCTTAAAACTTAAAAAACTCCCTTTAAAAATTCATGAGAGGAAATATTTATTTTCCTCTTTAAACTTTTTAATTCTTTCCAATTTTTTACATATATAATTTCTAGCATCAAAAAACTGCTATTTATTAAATGTCTAAGCTGTACTGATATCCCAGGAACAGGATGGGACTGTCCATGTCTCAGAAGCTTTTCTCTTCATTCCGTAGAATCTAAGAGATTTCTTCCTGGTTGGGTCAGGGTAGAGGTAATCATTTCCACGATTCCATCCACTGTCCGTGCCTCTGTCACCAACCCTGCCCTCGGCATCCTGTGCTATGAGTCCCACTACAGAGTGGGTTTAGCCCTGCTTTTCTTCTCACTCACCTTTCCAAGACCGCTTACTCAGAGGACCCTTTGCATGTGCCATGTCATCAAAAGAACACGGCCCCTGGATCAGTGGTCACAGGAGGTGGGCGAAGCCATTAGACATCCTCTTCAAACAACTCAGGAAGTGTTTCCAGATGAGGTGCGCTTAAGGCCCAAACGGATAACCATGGAAAACTGCCCAGTCTCATTTTTTTAATTAATTAATCTGGGGGCAGGGCTGAGTCTCTGCTGCTGCGAGGGCTGCTCTCCAGCTGCGGTGTGCAGGCTTCAGTAGCCGCAACTCCCAGGCCGCAGGGCGCAGGCTAACCGCAGTGGCGCACGGGCTCGGCTGCTCCACGGCGTGTGGGATCTGCCTGGACCGGGGATCGGATCTGTGTCTCCTGTACAGGCAGGTAGATGCTTTACCACTGGGCCACCGGGAGAGCCCCAGTCTCCATTTCTGAAAACTGTAAGAATCTTCAAGACTGCCTGTTTCCCTATCAGCGTCATGATGGGTCTTCCCAAAATGGACCTCAAGTGTAATATATTGTTACTGACCTGATGAGAAAGGAGGTGCCCTGCTCTCAGCAACAAAGGTGAGGCTGCAGCCCCCTTCTTCAGAGTAAACACCGATTTGGTCAGATTTCTAGCTGTTACAGGCCTTTAACCATTCCTACACACTGCGGGCATGCTAACCTGCAGTCCTTGGCCCAATTAGAGACCCTCTTACGTAACCAAACGGAGCCATTTCATTGTGCATAAAGCGTGGGTTGTGCTGGCGGCCTGGCTCCAGAGCGAATGTTTCACTGTGTTTCAGGGGCTGCCGCTAAATCATGAGCCGAGGCGACTTTGCAGCCAGACCACCACCGTGAGTATCACTTGCTTTTAGCGTGAATCTCCTGTACTTGCTTCTGTGGGGGTAACTTTCCTTCGTGAAATCCTAACTCAACGTAGGAAGCTAAATCTCAATTCTAGTTCGGCCCTTAAAAGTAGATTTCCGGATGGACGAACAGGACCTGGGAGGCCTGATGGCCAGGCGAGGCTGTGGTGGGAGCCCGTGGTCCCCATGCCCCTGGCACAGATGCGTCCGGCGGGTCCCTCCTCCCGGCCCTGCCCGTCTCCAGGACACGGCCCACCCCCCCTTCACACTCCTCGGCCAGAGACGTGCTCAGAGCCAGGCTCCTTGCCGTGTATGTCGGATGGACAGGACTGTGAAGGCCAGAGCCAGCCACTCCCCACCCTGCATGGCCCTCAAGAGGGACTGTGAGCTCTGCTCACACGAGGTGCGGTGGCTCTGGGTTTCTCTAGCACATAAAAACCAGCCACCCTGAAGTCACCAAGGCGAGCATCGCGGGCTGAGAGACATGAATACACAAGCCAAGGGCCACCTCGGGCTGTCTCAGGCCCACTCTTCCCCAGAACATGACATGAATGAACACCTGAGACCTTTTACTGCAACACGGCCAATGACCTGCGAATCAACTCTTCCTCCTATAAAACTTCTTTGGAAATAAAAGGATTATTTCAAAAGTATACTTTCTACAGAACAGAAAGAAACTCACAGACCTAGAGAATGAACTTGTAGTTGCCAGTGGGGGCAGGACGGGAGGAAGGGATAGTTAGGGAGTTGTTAATTGGCTATACCCCAGTACAAAATAAAAAGTTAAAAAATAAATTAAAAGGAAGTAAGTATAGTTTTCAAATACTGAAACAAAATGTTTCATACTGTTTCTATACATGTTTCAAACTGTTTCATGTTCCTATACATACTTATTAACAGACCTAAGCAGCAACTTAGACATAATCTTTATTTCTCTATGATTTAAAGATCAACCATGAAATTCTGAAATTTTGGAGGAAAAAAAAAAGCTGGGAGAAGTCTGGCACCTTCAACAGCATTTACTCAGTAACTATTCAGTGAATATTTACTGACTCTACTACACTCCAAGCACTGTGGCATCTAATTCTCTCATTTTATTGATTAAAAAACCAAGGTCCAGTGCAGTTCAGAGCATAGCTTAGAATAACCAGCTAATTAGGGGTAGCACAGTTGGGACAGGGGCCTCCCAGGCGGCACTAGTGGTGAAGAACCCATCTGCCAACGCAGGAGATGTAAGAAAGACAGGTTCAATCCCTGGGTTGGGAAGGACCCGCGGAGAAGGGAATGGCAACCCACTCCAGCACTCTCACTTGGAGAATCCCATGGACAGAGGAGCCTGGTGGGCTACAGTCCATAGGGTCGCAAAGAGTCGGACATGACTGAGGAGACTTAGCACAAATGTACCCACAGCTGGGGCAGAATTCAAATTGTCAAGGCTTTTTGCACTTGCCCCGTGCTGTTTATAACCTGTGAAGTCACTTAACTTTAAACAGGTCTTTAAAACAATGAGGTGCTTCTGGGGGATGGGGCTGGCCTGTCTATGGCATCATCAAGCTGAGTGCTTTAGCCCAATGCCTTGGCAAGTATGGCACCTGAGAAGTATTTGTTGAATGATTAACTACAAAGAGGCAGAAGAAAAACGCTGAAGCTGGAACCTGAAGACCCAGCAAACTTGTAGTTTGGCACGTTGATCTGGAACGTGCACATCATGTTCCGGAGTGACTGCAAAGTGCATGAACTGCCAGCTCTCCATTTTTCTAGGACATCGGTGTTTCTTACTTAGAGATTTTTAGAGGTTTGCAACCCCTGCGGTCTAAAACTTGGTTCTGAAATACGCGTTCTCTCCTACACGGTGGAAAAGAGTGAGCACAGTGGAGGCAGGTTTCCACAGCCGGCTCGTGGGAGAAACCCCAGCCATGCGAGGAGGACCCCCTCCTGGGCGGCGCAGACAGCCTTACTGCAAGGGAGCTCGCGACAGGGAGGCGCACGAAGCAGCCGCTGACCTCTTTTTCTCTCTCTGATCTTCCGGCGTTCCTCCTAGCCTGTCTTCTCTGGGTTTTCTGATCTTTCTCTTCCTTCGTGCCTCTTCCCGTGGCCACGGGGTCCTGGACTATTTCTGAGGCGGGGGCTGTGTGACTGCTCATCGACCAATCAGAGATGGCGTTAGTGCTCCAATGAGCATTGGCAGGGTTGGCAGGAAGCAAGAGGGAACTCGCTCCTGGAGTTGCATATTCTAAAGAACTGGTTTCCACAGGTTCAAATTCATAATAATCCCACTCCAGGGCACTGGAGGTCATTCTTCAACTAATTCTCAGTCTTTACCGTGATACAAAGCACAGTATCTGTGAAACATGAAGTTAGGAGTAAATTCTTCATAACATTCACATTCTCTATTGCTACCCATCACCCAAGACAGGTAACTTCTGAAATGTTTTTCCCCCAATACTTAATCTCCCAGCTTCTTTATTTATTTTTTTAATTATTTTTTGTTCATGCCTCACAGCTTGCAGGATCTTAGTTCCCCGATCAGAGATTGAACCTGGGCCATGGCAGTGAAATCACTGGACCACCAGGGGACTCCCGTCCGCAGCTTCTTTAAAGACCATCCATTAGGAGTTTTCTCCCCCGAGTTCCTGCGTGGGTTTCAAGGCTAATTGACAAGCAGAGTAAATATATAGAAGACACGCATGAGCCGTACTCTGACAAGTGCACCACTTCAGAGCTAGCGAGAGTCAAGGGCCCTCCACTCCCAGCTGTTTCTACGCCGTTTGCTGTTGTGTCTGTGCTTTTGCTTTGCGTCAAACCATCTGAGAGAAGCAATATATGCATTGTCTACGGCAAGGGAAAGATGCAGAATATATTAATAATTTCAGTAGATATAGAATACCCCTCTAACGGGAGAGCTGGCTTTCCTTCTGCTGACATATACACCTTTGGCTACCCTGTGAGAACTCCTGACGAGTTTAACGTCCTATCTCGCCTGGTAGAAACAGCAGTAGTTCTGGGAAGTCTGCATGGCTGTTGCTGCGATACCCGGAGCTCAGGACCTGAGGAGTGCTGGGTCGCGATGGGTGAGCACCCTGGTATTACCGCAGCCTTGCCATCAAGGCATCAAGGGCTTTAATTACGCAGAGAAGAGCGGACGCTGCCCAACATATTGGCACCAACGATTGAGAGCCCTGCCTTTCCTGTGGTCGGAATCTCTCCCCTCTCCCTGTATTTTTGCTCCTGTCATGTAAGGATAAGATATAATCAGGTACGTTATGATGGCTACAGTGCTGGGAAAGAAAAAAGTGTACTGTGACCCGGGGTAGAAATCAACAGCTTAAAGCTAGATCAGCATCTTTTGAAAATAACATCCTTGATGACTCAACAGGTTCCAAATATAACCAGAAATTTCTGAATGACACCGGCAGCCTTCTGCTCCTGGATATGACACATTTAGTTATTGCTTTAGTGAAGGCTGTCCTTCTCAACTTGCGTGTTTGCCAAGTTTTCGGACACTACACAGAAACTCAAAGAAGGCTAGAAGCACTTTGGTGACCCACACTCTAGCCCAACAGAGGGTCTGAACTGTGATAACATTCTGTAAGTACAGTGATTAAAGGTAAATCTGAAGGGGTTTATGAGTACAAAGTCTCCAAGAGCCTGTGTCCCTCACAGAAGTTCTTACCTCTTCGAGTCCTACTGTACAAATCACAGTTAGAAACTTTCCAAAAAGAATTTCCAATCAGATTATCATTAGGACATTTTCCTAGTAGCCCACTGGAGGGCAATTTACATAATCTTTTTCACATCCCCTTCTTAGAGAATCTAGCCTGCCCAAAAACCCAACAGGGCTACCCCTGCACTACAAGACTCCTTGCCAGCCAGTGCTGATTCACTCGGGAATGGATTCCTGAACCCAAAAGAGCCAGGTGAAATCTCTTTCTAGATAATCTGACTGAAGAAACTCACAGAGTGACTCTCAATCATGGCAGAGCACCAGGGTGAATCTTTCTGGAGGTGTCCTTTTTCTCGGATTACATGAGATCAATGTCCTGTTTTTTTCTTTAAATAGGTCCCTTTAAACTAAATGTATATTAAGAGAAATCAAGGCAAGAAAAGACAAAAATTTAAGTCTTTAAGCTTCATCTTTTTCTCCAGTGGTAAATTTGATCAATGACACATTTCCAGGAAGACTTGCCCAAACCTGTGTGTGTGCGTGCAAGTGTATATGTAGTGTGCTCCTTCATACCGAGACAAGGCCCTGCACTTGAATAATACTAGATAGGAAATAATAATACTCGATAGGAACTATGATGGGAAAACCAAACCACACTTGCTACTGAGAATGAATCCCAGAGCAGGGCTTCAAGAGGAAGGTCTTCCTACCAAGGTGGAGCTAAAAAGTGCTGTCCCTCCCCCACCTCACAGCTAGTTACACGTTGTGGGATTCTATGCAGACAAGCCCGGCTGACAGCCATCCCCCGACAGAATGATGGCTTCTACTCACATCATCCTGGACATCGAGGTCACAGCCAGCCTTCAGCAAGATCTGGACCACAGAGAGATGGCCCTTATTGGCAGCAAGATGCAGGGGCGTCCGGCCATGCTGTTAATGCAAAGCAAACACTGATTTCAGAACGAGATGTCACAAGAACAAGGTCTGCACAGCGGTGTTCCTCCCCCGCCTTCAGTTTGGCAAGCGATGCTTAGATTTACTCAGAGTTCAAGTTTTTCTCGGGTAACCTTGGCTATTGGCATTGTGAGCTATGAACAAAATATGTTCAAAATGTGAAGATTTCCTTTAGTGCATAATTTCCACTCCTATTCATCCAACAGGCAAGTAGAAAGGTGAGGGCTTTCACATCTTCTCTTATTTCCCCACTGGTGTGACTGTCAGGGATGGTGACGTGGCCACAGTGTATCTGATGGGGCAAGAGACGGGAGAGCAGCAAAGTGTAAAGCCACTTAGCCCCAGAGATGTCTGGCTAGTAATTCCTCAAAACTGAAACTGCTGGACAAACCATTAGAACCGATTCTCTCCTTTGTAAAACAAATTTTAAAAATTTTAAATTACAAACTACTTCAACCATTCGAAAATATGAATAATATTTGAAAATGCACATACCCACCATTAACTTTAAGAGAAAACTAAAGAAACCAGACCCAGGCTCGATCCCTGGGTTGGGAAGATCCCTTGGAAAAGGAAATGGCAACCCACTTCTGTATTCTTGCCAGGGAAATTCTATGGACAGAGGAGCCTGGTGGGCTGCAGGCCATGGGGTGGCAAAGAGTCGGATGCAACTGAGCGACTAACACCTTCACTTCCACCAAACACTTTAGGAAAAAAATAAAGAAACCACAGCTGTTCCTTGTGAACCCCTCCCATATCTCATTTCCCCTCAACCCCTAGGTGACCAACCAATTTGGAATCCATCGTTTCTTTGCCTGTGATTATACATTACTACAGGTTTGTAACCGTGCACAATAGATGAAAATTGTTTTGCTTGTCTTCAAACCTTACATAAATGGTATTAAACGAAACAGTGTCATGTAGCAATTTTGGAGGTCTGACATTCTATTTTTTATTTTAAAAAACACTGTCACACTGTTCACTCATTCTGTCACTGGTGAGCTCCAGGCTGCTCCCAGGGGGTGGCAGAACACGTGTGTGTACAGCTCCCGTGCACCGGAGTGGGGGGCTTCCCAGCCCTGCTGGTGGGTCACAGAGGTGACTGTCCCCTGCCAGGGGCTCCTGAGCTATGACAGCCTCACACCCAGAGCAGCGCTCTACAGAGTAAGTCAATCCCCATCCAAAAAACTGACCCTGCCACGCTCCGAATTCTCCAACTTCTGAAGGAGACATTCTGCTCCCTTGGCTTTCTCCCTCAAGTTCACTGTGAAGAAATGTTTCCAAACAGCATTTAACCACAGACCCCACCTATACAGAAATGCTCCTGGAGGAACAAGGGTTTCATATGGCCTGAGTCCTTTTTTGCATCTCGATAAAGCTTCCCAAAGCCCTTTATTGATAGTCTAGCAGGATAAACACATTTGTGTTCCCGATCAAGGGCCAGTTTGCCATGGGTAACTAGCCTTGCAGGAAAACAGATAGTAGACAATAAAGGATTTTAATTCCAACCTGTGAAATGCAATCAAAGCATTAGAATGATTCTGGAAAGAAAGAGGTCAGAGCTCACATTAAAATTAGAATTCTTAATTAAGAAAAAACTTTCTCCCAAGAAAACAGGCTATAAAAAGCCTTCATAAAAAGGCAGCATCAGAGATGAGATGGAGGCATGACCTTCCTCGGCTGGCGATGGTGTTCTATGCAGGATGGTTAACCTTGATTCATCCGACGAAGTGTTCACAGCCGATCAGATTGAAGCCAAATAGCCTGGTTCCCCTCGCTGGCCTGGCCCCAGGCCCCTCCTACCACGTGTCCTTGTCCAGGACATCCGATCAGTGACCTTCACAACGTTTCTGGGGCATTCTGAACAAAGGGGAGCCCATCGCAATTACAAGGAGAAAGACGTGTGCGGTGAGGAAGGCTGACAAGATGGCAGGATAGTGTTTCTGAGCATCTGAGAAGCGCAGACGTTGGCCGGAGGGGGCTGCCCTGAGGAGGCTGGGAACGAGGCCACAGGCCCAAGGGGTCCATGGGAGGCAGGTCAGGGGAGCCCCGAGGAACATCCTCATCAGCAACCAGGGGTTACTGCGTGGACGCTGAGGCCCAAGGAGGCAAGAGGGTTTGTCCAAGTGGACACACATAATCCGAAGGCCAGAGAAGGAAACATGGATGTGCTTTAAAACCAGATCAGTCTGGAGGGTGCTTGAGCAACTATAAGGTGTTAACAGAATGGCCTGGACTAGAGGCACCTTCCTCATCCAAGGTCAGCAGCGTGCCCTCTCCGAAGAAAGGACAGGCCAGAGGCACTGGAGCCCAGCGAGCAGGGCTCAAACCCCGCCTCTGACCAGTAACACCTGATTGACTCTGTGCTGCACGCTCTCCTAAGCCTGGTTACTCATCTGAAATAGGAGCGGGCTCCACCAACCACTGAGACGGGATAAGGCAGGCAGCACCCAGCGCCCAGCACGGGTTTCCTTCCCTCTGCCTCAGCCCTCACCCCTGAAGACCCCCGCCTGCTGCCCCTCCTCCTCAAGACCCCCACTCCTCTGCCTTCGTGAGACCGTGGGAACGGCACAGACACGGGTAAGGAGCTGGATCTCGGGTGCCCTAGGTAACCAAGTGGGCCTCGCTGGAGGGTTGAGCTTCCCATCAGCTAGATCTCACCCGCGGTTATTTCTGAAATCCAGTCTCCATGTCTCTCGGGAAGGGCCTTCTTTACTGGGAACACCTTCTCCAGTTCTCCAAGAAGAAATGGCCCCAGCTGCCTTCTCCACGCCCACAGCACCTCAGCTCCCCCCAGGAAACCACCAATCCTGTTCCGACTGAACTTCCAACCAGGCCGTGACCTCCCCGTGGGCGGAACGGCACCTCAAAGAGAAGCCTGTGCCTGGCGAGCAGAGAGCAGCCCCTGCTCGGCACGAGAGGACGCCTGCGTGCCAGTGAAGAAAAAATAAAATAAAAGTAAATAATGCCTTCACTAAAACCCTGGAAAATAAAAGCAAATCATTTGCGATTCTCCCACCCCACACAATGATTTGCCACTTTTATCCTTACTTTTTCACTGCATCTTCTCTATTGGTGCTTTTGCAGTAACATTCACAGGTCACATGAAACTAGCTTGCTTGTGCGTTAATATCACGCCTTAAACCAGTGGTCTTCAAACTTCACAGGGCAGCATAGGCTTGTTAAAGACTGCTATCTGGGCCCCGTTAAAGGGTTTCTGACTTTGTAGGTCTGGGGTGGAGACTGACAATTTGTATTTCTAACAAGCTCCTATAACTAAAGAGCCTCTTGATGAGGGTGAAAGGAGAGTGAAAAAGCTGGCTTAAAACTCAGCATTCAAAAAAAGAAGCTCATGGCATCCGGTCCCAGCACTTCATGGCAAACAGACGGGAAAAAGTGGAAACAGTGGCAGACTTTATTGTCTTGGGCTCCAAAATCACTGTGGATGGCGACTGCAGCCAGGAAATTAAAAGACGCTTGCTCCTTGGAAGGAAAGCCATGGCCAGCCTAGATAGCGTATTAAAAAGCAGACATGACTTGGCCGACAAAGGTCCATCTAGTCAAAGCTATGGTTTTTCCAGCAGTCATGTATGGATGTTAGAACTGGACCATAAAGAAGGCTGAAAGTGACAAAGTGAAAGTGTTAGTCGCTCAGTCTAATCTCTTTTGCAACCCCAAGGACTGTAGCCTGCCAGGCTCCTCTGTCCATGGGATTCTCCAGGCAAAAATAACTGGAGTGAGTTGCCATTCCCTTCTCCAGGGGATCTTCCTGACCCAGGGATTGAACCTGGGTCTCCTACATTGCAGGCTGATTCTTTACCATCTGAGCCACCAAAAGAAAATCAACCCTGAATATTCACTGGAAGGACTGATGCTGAAGCTGAAGCTCCAATACTTTGGCCACCTGATACAAAGAGCCGACTCTGGAAAAGACCCTGATGCTGGGAAAGATTGAGGGCAGGAGGAGAAAGGGACAACAGAGGATGAGATGGTTGGATGGCATCACCGACTCAATGGGCATGAGTTTAAGCAAACTCCGTGAGAGAGTGAAGGACAGGGAAGCAGTCCATGGGGTCACAAAGACTCAGACACAACTCAGTAACTGAACTACAAACAAGAAGCTCCCAGGAGAAGCAGATGCTGCTAGTGTTAGGACCACCTTTTTCGAGCTATAACATAAATAATGGGTTTTCAACCCTGTTGCACCATAGATTCACCTGAAAATATTTTTAAAGTCTCAGAATTTACCCCCAGATTCCATCAAGCTAGGGTGGGGTCTCAGCGTGGGTGTTTTCGAAGTGCCATGTGACAAACGCGCACCTGGAGGCTATAAATCCCTCCTTGGAGGCTTCAGCTGTGCAGGTTCTCCAGCGTGCCCGGGGTCAGGGCCGGCTAGCCGAGACCAGCGGGGTGGGGGGTGCAGGACCCTGCAGGCAGCATGTCTCCCTGATTCGACCAGGGAAGGGCAGGGGCTTAGCCACTCACTCTGAGCGAAGTGAACAGCAAAGGGCCTAGCGACGTTGCCAGGCAACAACCACAGAAAACGTGGTCTCGCCGTCAACAACTCGGCCCGGCTGCTGCTTTATTCTGGCAGGCTGAGCTCCGTGGGTCCTGATTTCCAGCAGAACTGCCGCACAGAACATGAGTGACTCCCGATCCAGCAGGTGGCCCACAAATTACACTCACAGGTGATCGTAAAGAGCGCTCTGAACGAAAAGCCTCTGCTGCTGATTTGGAAGAGCCCAGCTCCCAGCTGGAGGTGGGAGAGCTGTTTTACAGCGAGTGGGGAGCTGCTGGGCACAGGGGGTCAGACTGGAGCTTCGTGAGGCCCTCGAGGGTGGGGTGGGAGGGAGGCCCAGGAGGGAGGGGCTGCGTGTACACGTGTGGCTGCCTCACGTCACTGCACTGCGGGAACCAGCACAGCACGTGCGCTGAGCAGCTTCAGTCGTGTCTGACGCTTTTCAACCCCATGGTTC